CTTCGAAAATCACCATTTATACCCCCTGGGGTACTTTTACGTGGGGGTACTATGATAAACCTTAATAATTTCTGTTATGTATCCCAAATCACATTCAAATTTTCAGGGATCATGCAGCTATACATTGTCAGTTATCATGGCAAGTTTGATATTGATTGGTGAAATTATTACCATGGCAACACAATTTAATTACACAAAAGCTGTGAATATTTTGGATAAATCCAAAGCTTCCTTAAAAACAAATGTCTGCTTATCTTTTTAAGTTATTCCAAATGAACACAAATTTGACCTTTAAAACATATTTAGGGAGTTTTCAATAAGAAAACATGATAAAAATGATGAACTCGTGGATGTCTATGACTCTGGACTTGATATTTGGTGACTACTGCTCAATCTACTAAAATGTGGGTGTGGTACTTTTGGTTACATTTTCTAACAATTTCATTTTGACAATATCAATCACAGTCATATTTATAGGGGTCATGAATACAGATATTATAATTTGATATGGTAAGTCTGAACATGATTAGTCAAGTGGTTGCCATAGTAACACAACATAATGAATGCAAATAGTGGCTAGAGATCATTTCAAATAATAGGTTGTTCCAATTACATTCACCTTTCAAGAGTTATTTTGTGTATGATTCTAACAAAATTAAGTTTGGATAATATTGATACATGGTTGTTATGGCAACTTAACTGATAGTGTTGTTTGTTAAGACACATGCTTTGCTACTGTAGTATCTTCTTACTACAAAGTACGGCAGGTCATGTCTCTCACTCTCTGTCTGTCTGGATATCTCCTTCTAGACCCTTCAACCTTGAGTCACCATGCTTGATCAATATTCTTAGTGGATCAATGAGTATCATATTAAGGTCTTAGGTCAATATCTCGGTATTTGGCATTTTAAGATCCTGGGCGGATGCTGTGACCCTTGACGACCAATGATAAGGTAACCTGAAGTCAAGGTCAATGTTATGGGTCAAAGTCATTCTACTTCCATTGTGTCTCAATCTTTCTGATATCTAGTTGTTTGTAAGAGGATGTATTCATCTCAGACTTTGGAGGCTGAGGCTGTACCCATCTTGAGACTCTTGAGACTGTACCATCTCAGATTCTGAAGGATGTATTCATTTTAAACTCTGGAGGCTGTACTATCTTAGGTTCTGGAGGATGCATTCATCTTAGACTCTGGAGGATGTACCATCTTAGATTCTGGAGGATGTATTCATCTTAGACTCTGGAGGCTGTACTATCTTAGATTCTGAAGGATGTAAGACTGTACCATCTTAGATTCTGGAGGATATGTTTATCTTAGACTCTGGAGGCTGTACTATCTTAAATTCTGAAGGATGTATTCATCTTAGACTTTGGAGGCTGAGGCTGTACCCATCTTGAGACTGTTCCATTTTAGATTCTGAAGGATGTATTCATCTTAAACTCTGGAGGCTGTACCATCTCAGATTCTGAAGGATGTATTCATCTTAAACTCTGGAGGCTGTACCATCTTAGATTCTGGATTATGTATTCATCTTAGACTCTTGAGGCTGTACTATCTTAGATTCTGGAGAATGCATTCATCTTAGACTCTGGAGGATGTACCATCTTAGATTCTGGAGGATGTATTCATCTTAGACTCTGGAGGCTGTACTATCTTAGATTCTGGAGGATGTATTTATCTTAGACTCTGGAGGCTGAGGCTGTACCCATCTTGAGACTGTACCATTTTAGATTCTGGAGAATGTATTCATCTTAGACTCTGGAGGCTGTACTATCTTAGATTCTGGAATATGCATTCATCTTAGACTCTGGAGGATGTACCATCTTAGATTCTGGAGGATGTATTCATCTTAGACTCTGGAGGCTGTACTATCTTAAATTCTGGAGGATGTATTCATTTAAGACTTCAGAAGCTGTACCATCTTAGATTCTGGAGGATGTATTCATCTTAGACTTTGGATACTGTACAATCTTAGATTCTTAAGGCTATAACCATCTATGACAATGGAGGCTGTACCATTTTAGTCTCTGGGGGCTGTTCCCATCTTAAGACTCTGGAGGCTCTGCCCAATTTAGAGTCTGTAGACTGTACCATCTTAGGCTCTGGTAGCTGAACTATCTTATATAGCCTAAGTGCTCTACATTATTAAGGTATGGGATGTTACTTTCTTGGGATTGAGCCGCATGTTCTCTGGGGATTGGAACACGGTGCAGAATTTTGAATCAACATTGCAACATGCACTCTAAACATACATATGGTAGAATACTCTCATAGTCAATATATTGCAAATGACATGTATTGAATGGGATCGCAACTTAGTCAGCACCTCAGCTTATTTTAGCAGTTGAGGTCACATTATTTATATTTTCACTTATCAGGCTATTGCTGAAGCACTTAATAAAAAAAATAAGAACATTTATGATAATTACAGGCACAACAATTAGATTGGAAAATATTTGAACTCCTTTGATACTCCTTTTAAGTAAAAATGTATTTAAGATAATAAGTAGGCGTCCCTGGCCCCGCCCACATTTTACATTAATCACGTTTTGTTATAACTATGACCTACTGTGAGTAATTTGCGACCCATTGTTACTATTGACCAATTATGATCAAGATTACCATATCAATTGACGATAATGACTGTGATAATACTACCAACATAAAATTAATAGGAAATGTAACCAAAAAGTGCCACGCCCACTTTTCAATTCACCTCTGCCCCATGATGTCAGAATTGTCAAAATTAAGAACATAAATATATTCTGTTCATCTACAGAATTATATTTTATTGTATTTTACACATCATTGGCACAATAATATGTTGAATATTTGGTTGATATACCTCTTATTTTAAAAGGATGATGTTGCGCTCATCCTGACCCTAAAACTGGCCCTAGAAAATGAACAAATGGAACTTAAATAATTTTTTTCTGTCAAACAAATTAACCTACAGTTCTGATATTCATGGTGTCTAATGTCTGATAGTAAGACAACTCTCATGAATTTTTAAAAGTCATCACTATGTCTAATGATCAAATTATAGGCATTTATAGAGAAAAACGGGTGAAAAAAGCATACAAGGTAAGGTCATGAACACATACAAATATGAAATTTTCTCAGTATTTTCCAACTTTCTTCTATGAAACTATCAATTTTGATATTTTTGTAATACATACATGAAAAAACAAGGGACACTTTAAAAAGAAAGTAGTGTGATAATTTTTTTTAAATAAATTGTTGTCATTTTGGGGGGTCATTGAGGGGGCTATCTTCAGCATGAAAATTCATAGTCTTCCACTACTTAGATTTTTCTAGATTTCTGATATGTTTTTTTACTTACCAAGACACATTGATTTCACCAGGTTTAAAAACTTTTGCAATTTTTTCCTTTATTTTTGTGTTTTTTACTGGACTATAGCAAACGTTCCTATTTGAGCCTAACCTACAGTGAACTTCCCATAAAGTACATTTTACTGACTATTATGTTCCAACTCAATTATATTTTATTTACTTAATTTTCTATTCAATACAATTCAGATTATTTTATCACGAAAATGTATATCATGACGATCTCTGCCCCTATCACACTATATAAATTTAAGCGGCCTTAATTAAATTATACGGTTTTCAATTATTGTTTCTATTCATTCTTGAAATATATTTTCGATATCAATTAACCTCGTAACCCGATGATATTATATCATGAAATAATAGACTCGACGATTGTATTATTGTGCATATATCGTGTACATTTTGACAGTGTTTATAATAAAATAATTAATAAATAGATAAAAATAATAGTATATAACATTCTACCAACGAGAGTGTAGACACACAACGACATATGCTTGCATGTTATAATGACAGTAAAAATAATTTGGGCTTTTAACACTAGTATAACCGTAACGACCTCATTAGTCATGTTCATCTAAAATATGCCTTTGTATTATAATGTGTCGAGGTATGCCATATGGATTCTGTTTAAAGCCATGTGCTGACCATTTTCCATCTTGAATTATTCAATCATTTTCAAATTTTCCCGAAAGTATATTCTCTCATTTTTTCCAATAATGATAACCTCACACGCCATCAATTAGAGTTTATCACAAGATTAAACTTTTTAGACTAAGCAAGTAAACCAGGGTGAAGTATAAGTATGTCACTTCCTTCTTTTTCTTATTTTCAATTTAACATGTTTAATAGTGTAATTGGGCAAAACAGTAAGCCCATAGTTTGGTGCCATGCCAGTTCAGTCCCATATAGTGAAGTTCTCATACTTCGACAATGTCAGCTCAAGTTTACTGTCAATAAAATCAAGGTGTACGCTATTTCGAACCCTAATTTCAATAGACTTTCAGTTTTTATTTATTTGTTAAGGTCATTTGGGCTCATGGAACATTGTAAAAAATCTGCTGCTTTACAGTAAATTGGGATAAAATAGAACGTCAACGGTGATAATAATCTATGACCAACGATCCCTTTATTATTGGAATTCAAATGGGTCATTAACCCCTTTCATGCCAAGAGTGATAGTTTAGCGACAAGATTTCCTCTCAGATGATGTCATTTTTTAATGTTTTTAAGTTGTTTGTATTGACTCTTTGTTAAAAGGCTGACTTTATTTTGTGACTAATATGTCATTGTAATGAAATAGAAGAATCAATAAGGTACATTTATGTTGAACATAGCATTTTCTTATTTTGGCAATAGAATGGCAAAAAGTAACTGCAATTATAAATACCTTGGTAACCAAAAGGTTAAAGCGTTGTCGTGCAATTACGATGATATACAAGGTTACATATCAGGTTTTTTATGAATAAATGTCAAAAATATATTATAGAAATCCTTCAAGGTTGATTCTTTGAAGTATAAATTAAATGTTTAAATATAAAATGTATGGTATAACCTCCATCCCATTTGAACAGGATTCGTCGTGTGAAGGAAAGGACATTGGGAAGATAATCTTTTCGGGATACGGGGCACATACGGGAAGAGATGACAAAAGTGTTGAGATACACGTGCTTAGCAGCAATCTTCCTAGTAGATGCTGTACTTGCGGCTAACGTATACGGAGGTATGTATTTATAGGATATCAATATCACCGAAAAGATTAAATAATATTCTGAAAAATTTCACCTAGTGCACTAAATGTATAAAAATGTATAAAATCAACAAGCGGAGTACAGTATGTCGTCACCACGAGGGGAAAGAGTACCCGTGTATATACAACCTACCGCCGAGCAAAGACCCGAAGATGTCTGAAAATGTAGGGGATTAGTTAATAAACTCCTGTTTTATATTGAATTTCTCAATATGAGAAATAGATAAAACACAGAATTGTTTGTAACCGATATAATTGTTGTTCCAGGCACCCATGTTTAGAGAATAATGAGTACTTAATGCAATATTTACTATCAAATCGCTAAATTCAACTTCTAAATATTAGAATGATGTTTTACATCTTAAATAAGTAAGAACCATGGCTGAATTTACTCCATTTGATTCAAAGATACAATAGGTGCAAATATATCACATTTGTTTCACTGCCATACGTTGCATACCGGTGAAAGTTGAAAATGAAAGACCCGATTATACCACGAGTACGATTCAATAGGACCCGATGCTACCGCCTGAGTATTCCGATTATACCGTGAGTAAAACCCGATGAGGTAGTGAGTAAGCTTTCGAATGATCATATAATAAGATGAAGTATATCACAGATATTCCTGTTAATATGATATAATTCCGGCGGCACTATACGTCAACGTCTGTGTCCCGCGAAGTTCTTTAAAACATTGAATTCATGCTTTCCCTCGAATCACCATAGTTTTCATTGTTGATGATATCACCACTTCTATCAGACTATGCTCATAATCCAATGATTTTGGTACGTGTTATTTTGTATCTACCAAGACGGTAAACATATGAAAAATAGTTATATATTTTGATTGGTCTAAAATGTGCAAAGTTTACCCATTATGCTCATTCGATCTCAATATTGAATAAAATAAGATATCAGTAGAAAGGCTACTAAAATGAAAAAAGATTGACCAGTAGAGATTAGGAACGTGACACATATTCATTTTTCGAACCTTGATTTAATTGCCTTTATTGGAAGGGTTACTCGTTATTGATACTATTGTAACATTTTGACCCAGACTGACACAACAGAAATAAGGTCTGAATATTGAATGAAATAAGATATCAGTAGAAAGGCTACTAAAATGAAAAAAGACTGACCAGTAGAGATTAGGAACGTGACACATATTCATTTTTATCCATAAATATGGATAATAATTTATTTAAAATGCAATTCATTCGCTCTCAAGTTTGACTAAAATATCAGTACAACGGCTCCTAAAATGAAGAAAAATCATTCATAATTGATTTAAACGCAATTCCGCGCTTTTCCTATCCTACAATGTTGATAGCCTAATTTCTGTTGTGTCAGTCTGGGTCAAAATGTTACAATAGTATCAATAACGAGTAACCCTTCCAATAAAGGCAATTAAATCAAGGTTCGAAAACTCCCAAAAGTAACACTAACACTATATCATCATCAGCATGTCATAGACTCGGCGATATAATCGGATCTCAACAGATTTTACTCAAGTAATGTTCGGATTCTGAGATCATTTACTCAAGATATTTTCGGATCTTTATAATATTACTCGTCGATCACACCGGGTCCGATGTCCGATAACATTGGATATTTTAGGACAAAGTTTATGTGAAGACTTTGCTGTTCAAAAAGTGCTATTTTGACCTAATATTTTGACACTTAATATATTATACATTTGATAGATGTCCAATATTACCTTTATTGTTCATTTACCTATGAGATGTAGTTAACCAAACATTTGATAGGCGGTATATGCGTGTCTTGCTCGGCGGTAGGTTGTATATACACGGGTACACTTTCCCCTCGTTGTCACACTATCCTCCGCATATTTGGTTTTCCGGAGTATATCGTGGCGATATCCTTTGCATATTGGTTTGTCATTTTACATTTAGAACACTAAGTGTAGGATAATTGTTGTAATCTGTTTAAATTAATTAAGACCTACATTTTGTGACAATATCCGATGAATGATGGTTTCATTGGAAAACTCTTTAAATGTTATTCTAATTTTCTATAATGTTATAATTGCATAATATATATATTTTGAATTTTGTAATTGTGTATTGTGTACATAGATGTATGTTACTTTAAAAAGGAGCCTGTAATGAAATTGTTCTTGTAGTCTCTATAAGCTCAGTCTATAGACAGCTAAATGACAGTAGTGTTAATATTAAAGATCTTCAACAATCGGCCTACCTTAACGATATTTTGAAAAAATTACATCACACCCAACAAAATACAAATTGGTACGCCTATAAAAACTTACAAACCCAGAACACGAGTTAACTCGTTCTCGATCTGTTTTTAGGTGAAGACACTTCTTCTGGAACGCTAGCCCAATTTCTGCGAGAAATACTTGATACAGAAAAGCGTGGAACCTCGGGACGCAGGGATGTCAAATGCACGTGGATGTCACCGAATGACGATAAGGAGTTTCTGCTAAAGACAGATGCAGATAAACACAGTATAAGCTTCAAAGAAAAAGAACATTTCGTCAACTACCACAATGAACATCGAGCTAAGACTAGACCCTCGGCAGCGAATATGAACTACATCGTAAGCATCACGTGCTCAAATAGGGGTTTTCTTCCATCATCACACATTTTCCCAAAATTAGATCATGGGCCATTTATCTTCCATAAGAATCCGTGTGGGGTTTAAGTTAGATAAACCATTCGTACTGGGTCTTAGGAGAATGTTTACCCTCGGGCCAAGGCTCTCAGCTATCATTCCTCCTAGAACTCAGTGCTCATAGTTTATCCATAACAGAAATTGTGTTCGTTGAGCAACATCTTCATTATTATCGCAGAAATATGAAATTCTATTCAGACGTAGATGGGCATGCATTTTATTTGTTATTTAGATTTGGGACCCAGAGCTTGCCGAACTGGCCCAGGTCTGGGCAGATAAATGTGTCTATAAACACGGACAGCCGGGTGAGACCCTAGCCAAACAGGGAAGAGACCCCAACGAGTTCATTGGACAGAATATGCAAGCCTGGTCGTGTAAGTTTTTATCTTGTATTATCGTAATTGTATTAATTATTTTTGAGTTATCATGTTCAATGTTCACTGTAGCCGGAACTACCCACTGGATTTGCATATGCCAGGCTTGGCAGAATGAAATTTCATATTTTTATGCATGACAGGGATACCAATAGTCAAATTGTATATTAGCTTAGTATACCAGGTATAGACCCTAAGAGGAGTACGTACCCTAAGAGGCACAACTTAATATTAGTATACCTGGTTGACGCATTTGTGTTGTGTTGTATACTTACTTATCCATCAACTTAATATGGCGCACATCTCATTTGCCTGAAACTTATTGATTGATCGTAATTCCATACGTCCAGATTGTACATGTATGACCTTCCATTCTTTGGATTCGTGAATCTTAACTCAATTTTTAATAAATGTATTGTTTTGAACTTTCTTGTCTTTTAGGGAGCTTCGATGAAGAACGAAGTATGTACAGCTGGTGGGAAGAGATCAATTACTATAATTACTACACGCAGAAATGTGAAGGCAAGCAGTGTGGACATTACACACAGGTAAATCTTAAAATGTGGACATTACACACATATAGATCATACAATGTGGACATTACACACATATATGTGGACATTACATTATTCATTATTGGTAAATATGAAGGCATGCAGTGTGGACACTACAATCGTAGTTATGTTTTATGTCATGCAATGTGGAAACTACGTCCTGGTAAAGTGCAAAGGCATGCAAATGTGGACACTACACCCAGGTAATGTGTTAAGGCATGCAATGTGGACACTACACCCAGGAAAAATTGAAGACATTCAGTGTGGACACTATAACCAGATAAATACAAATGTATGAAGGTATGTAGTGCAGACAATACACCCAGGTAAATATGAAAGTTTCCATGTCGGCACTATACCCAGGTAAATCATGTAATGTGGACACTACAATCGGGTAAATATGAACGCACCACAATAGGATGAATATGAATGCATGCAACGTGGACACACAGGTAAATGTGAGAGTATGCAGTGTGCCATGTGTGCTACACTAAAGTATATGACTAACGCAATGAAACAGATTATTTTGAAAACAAAAAGTGGGTTTCAAAAATGCACTACCATCTTGTAATACTTTTGACCATATTTTTTGCACATTAATCACGCAAACTAAAAACAATTTGCTCTTTCAGTTTGCATGGGCTGGGACGGATCGTATGGGATGTGGCATATCATATTGCGAACGCCTCAAAAATGCATATCCCGATTATGAAATCCATTGGTACTATGTTGTTTGCAACTACTTACCAGGGTAAGAAATAAGAAAGCAATAATATAAAAACAATCTTCTAAGTTAATTTTCTCACATATTGTAGAACTAGTATGATATGCGATATCATAATCTCGAAAAAGATTTCTCTGAAAATCTTGAGGATTTTGACTAACCAATCAAAATCTAATAATATCATTTATCTGTTGTTGTAGATATCCGCTTGTAGATCACCCTTCTGAACTACTTACGAGACAATTACTATATACTTGGACATAATGAATATTATAGTTAGATTTTCAGAAATTTCGAGTTGAGGTCAAATCGGCCAATAGCAGAATAGTAAAATCCAGTAGTACGGTCAAGTCAAGTAACTTAGTCAACATTCGATATTCGTATGTTCATCAATATTTACTAAGAATGATGCCACAATTGAAGTAAACCTCTGGTTAATTATTTTCACTAAACCTATCAGCAAACGTGTAAATAATAATTTTGATGTTCTGTTACATATTGGTGAAGCAATCTTGGGGATATGGCCTAAATTTCTGAATTTCCACTATGTCCCTGTATACCCCTACTTCAAAAGATGTATGTTATTCGTCATTTTCCATTATTAACCAACCATAAATGTATTTTTGCTTGTTTACATACAGAATGAACTTTCTGTTTTCGAATATTGAAAGATGGTACTGCATTTATTTTTTCATGATATGGAGCAAACAAATTCGTGTCAATTTACACTGTAATATCAGTACATACTCATATTTCAAGGGTGGTTTTGAAGAATAATCAAGAAAATCAATGTTTTCAAATGGATTCATCCTTGTCAAAGAACGTAAATGAGGATATGCGGTTTGAAAAACTAACAACATGTTTTAAGATCTTAAAATTCTTGGTTAAAACAAATATTTTGAAAGTTGTGATTTCGAATGTAATCTCCTACTCAATGAAATTTGTTGATATTTGTGAATTTTATCTTTCGGAATATACATTGCTTGATAACAGAACCTTGCCTTGTTCGAGATGCACGAAAAGTGTATTGTTAATACTTGACGTCGTTCGGATATTTGGATGTGATTGACGTTTTCGTTAATCTCCAATTACCACTGTAACTTCCAACTTAATTTTTGAAAGCCAAATATGATGGTCACGAATTGATATTTAAGTCACACGTTGATGCATACATCATGTGTGTACATTAACTGTCGAATACATGCCGACTTACATTTATATAAATAACCACAGTTAACTCAAATCATCAATTCTCGAAACTGTTTAGCATATAACCTGGTGCGTTTAATGTTTCATTTCAATTTATAATTATGGTTTCGGATTTGAGTATGATATTAGTCGAGGCTTAAACAAAGCAATGACACTGCTAGAAACCTTTTGTGAAAATTCGAACGATTTTTCAAGAATCCTCCTTCAAAGTGTTACCAAAATGCTCCCCGGGAGTGGAAATTTCGTCTTGTGCAATCAAAATAATAGCGGGTGGTTTGAATTTTTGTTTGTGTTTATAGCATACATCTGTTAATTTAAAAACATATCGCCTCATTGAGAGGTACATGCAGATTTTGGCGATCTATCATTATAAAAGGCTAAATATTGTGCAAAAACAAGAATTGACACGCTTACATCTGGAACAGAAATTTCCTACATAATTGTCGACTCGTGTCTAAAAGTCATGAAAACAAGGTTGAACATAAAACATTGACCCATTTACTGTCTATTTAGCATGGGATCACTAAGGGAAATATTATTAATGACTTAAATCGTCAACGGTTAAGTTTAATCCAAGAAACTTATCAATTTAGAAATGCAAAATGCTCAATTTTGTTTCCTAATTATAAAAAATGGCACCTGTAGAGAACAACGTTTACAAAATTATTTAAAACGGAGATATTTACTTATGTAACATTCGTTGGCATGTGTCAGGAAGTAAATAAGAAGAATATGCTTTTGATTCTATATCTTGTTCCCAAAGGAATTTGTTAAGGAGCTATATATCTTAACGTACTTTTATCATCCCGAACTCAAACATTTCGAATACTTATTTCGAAAACGCATTGTTGAGAATGGATTCGAGATGTACTCAAAATTAATGCGTTAAAATGTGTATTATCATCTTAATAGCCACCTCACAAATTATTTTGGAAACCGAAGATGTACGATTTTTGAGATTTTTATTTTCGAATATTGACTTGACTGAGTAATGGATTGCTTGAAAATTTGTTCAAAATAAAATGAATTCAGTTCAACTTTTGCTATTACGTTTTGGTTATACTATTCAAATAACAGGCATTGGCAGAACAAGAAGATTTTCAAGGAGGGTCCGAAGTGTTCGCAATGTCCACCCGACAAGAGCCAATGTGACAATGGGCTTTGCAGTGAGTACATCACTGATTTACGCGTTGAATTAGCTATCAACACAACATTTCATAATCGCCATAATTAAGAGAGTTCTAGAATAATGTGTCACCTTGTATTCTGCAACTGTTCGATCATTATAAATAAAATGTAATTAAATGAAATTGTTTTCATCACATTAGTAATTGTTATTAGTTATACCTAACGCATTTCAGGATCTCCGCAGAAGTGTCCCAGCAACTACGTATGTCAAAACGGAGGAACTCTGCTACCAAACACTGGGTGTATCTGTCACTGTCCCAAGGAGTACACAGGCGATTCCTGTAAGACACCTCTTTCTTTACAACACAGCTATATCTTAATCTAAAATTTTAATGTGAAGACATCACTATAAATGTTCTATGTATTGTTCTCTGGGGTTGTAAAAAGTGAGAGGCTTTATATCTGTTATACGTTAAACTGGCTTTTTTGGGATCGGGATGCTTGGGATGTTTGACTACATGTACTGCTATATGCTCAAGCTATTTTGTTCCTTTTATAGCTATCTTTCAATACTTTTTGGTTTCTCCCGTGTAGTTCGTTTATATTTATCCTTACAGAGTTTACCTCATGGGTCTTTCAACAGGAATGACTTCATTAAAAAAGACACAGTGCTCCTTCCTACTAACCTTACAAATTGTCCCACGTTTACCATACAGCTAAAATTAACATTACACAATATGAGTACCCGTATATGAACTGTTAAACCGTGTTCCAATATTACAACCAGGTTGTAGATTTGCTGGGTATAATTAAGCTTTAAGGACAGCTATAATGATTTACACCCCTTTAGGATAGCGTCCATGCAATTATCATTAAGATTATACAGCGAAAGTTTTCTTTTAATATTGAAGGTGAGACACCAACAGGAGTGGTTTTCCAATGCGACTTTGAAGAGGATGACTGTGGGTTCTCAAACGATCTAAAGGCTGACTTTACATGGACGAAGAATGCAGGGGGAACCCCTGATGGTCAAACAGGACCAGCTGGTGACCATACCACTGGGGGACGAGACACAGGTGTGTGCATTCATTTTATGTTCAAATTAAAAGTTTAGGACATTGGACTTGCATGATTAAAAAGTATAAACCAGAAAGTGGGTCAAAATGGTGAAAAACTGCATGATTTTGAAAGTGTTTTGGCCATGGGGGTTATTGGATTATTGTGCAAGAAATTGAGGTGTAGTGAAGTACAGAATATGATTTAAGAAATACTTCAAAAGCTCATCCAAAATTATTTTATTTTTAGGTTACTATATGTACACCGATGGAAGCAAGAAAAAGCCAGGTCAGAAAGCGCGCTTGATTTCTCCTACGTTTGACGTCAGTTCCGGGTCAAGTGTTGAATTCTATTGGCACATGTGTGGTCCTGGAATAGGATCACTAAACGTGTATTCTCAGAAAGATGGCCGTGAATCTCTGCTTTGGTCAATTAATGGTAAGTTAAAAATTTCCCAGAAACAAAATTTACAACTGTGTATCAAAAGGGGTTAACTAACACTAAATTAATACTCATTTGCATATTAATTGTGACGTAAGAATAAGATTTTTCATCTTAAGTAAAGCGTACCAAGGCTCTCTTGAACAAAAACACACCCCAATCTCCAAAGTGCCAGATTAAAAACTTCATCACATACTGCATCTAGAAATCGAATGACCTTTCTTGAAATTTAAAAGCACTTTGGATTACCTATACAGTGCGTATAAAAAAAACGCAACAGATTGTTATCTTGGAAAAGCACAAAACCAGTGATAACAGCATTGATTTCATTCAATGCACCATAAAGCCATGTGTCTCATCTTTACAATGAAATATCATTCATTGATATATGGTCATGGTTGGGCGAGTAATCATTCAATTTGCAAAGTGGGTCAAAATTAGCTTCGGGCCAAGTTATAAACATTGCAAAAGTCAGTGTACGGAGCCTGATGCAATATTGGATGAAAACATAAAACCAATGCTGACTGCATCCTTTTAATTCAATGTACCAAAAGCCAAATCACTCTTCTTTGTAATGGAATATCATTCATTCACAGGGAGTCATCTCTGGGCGAATAATCATTAATTTTGCAAAGTGGGGCAAATTTCAGATCGGACCCAAGTTTAAAACATTACAAAAGTCAGTACAAGGGGCATAGGGGCTATTGGGAGAAGGTGTGACAGGTATTGCATAGACAGTAAAGTGTTCATACTCATACTCTTGCAAGAAAACATCCTATACCCCTCCAAATTGCCACCACTTCCTTGCACATAAAGATGCGCTCATCTATCCACGTCATGCATGGTTCAGCCCTGAATCATGTGTGGGTTAAAGCAAAGAAAAGCAGCCCATGGGCAAATCTTTCTCGAGGTTTTGCAATATCTGGTGGAGGAATTGTGAGCACAGATGCTTCCGAGATAGCTCCAAAATAAAAAGTCACAACAATTCAAGTCAGGGGAACTTTCATTGGCACTTAGCCCTTGCACTGATTTTTTCAATATCTAAAACTTGGTGCAGAGCCGATTTTGACCCACTGTGCAAATGGAAGGATTTCTCACCCAACCAGTGCCACATCTGAATGAATAACATATCATTGCAAAGAGGAGAGACGTGGCTTTATGGTACATTAAATGAAATTGATGTAGTCATCACTAGTTTTGTGATTTTACGAGAAAACTACTTGTTGCGTTTTTTTGATACGCCCTGTACAGGAAGGAAATTGACACATGCGTCATTTATACTGGTCAACAAGCATGTTTCTCCGAGAAAATGAAAACTTATATGTTTAACACTTCTAAAAACTGTATATAAACAGGTGAGCAATCCTTCCATTGGAATAGGACGGCTGTGCCTCTAAACCCTGGTCGACAGAGTATCGTATTTGAAGGTGAACTAGGTCCTAAACAATGGAGCTCTGACATGGCAATTGACGACATTGCCATCAAAGGGAAAGGTATGTATCCTATTTAATTAGTAATTTTATAATTGCCAATTTAACCAATGATAAAAATGGATGGGAAAATTGAAAATAGTGATCACTTTTCAGATATGGTAGAGGATATTATTTGACATTTGCAACGTTCTCAATTTGATTCAATAGTGCAATACAGGGTGTACCAAAATGCAACCCACTTAAATATATTTTTTACCAATAGGGCTCGACATATCTTTTTGACATAATTAAAGTTGTTTTAATATACTTTGATATTCTTTGAAGTTGACAAATATGTTGCGACTTCAAGCGATACAAATAAATGACGGACACAGTGAACAAAAAGTTTGATCAAATGAATTTTGTCATTGCCTCTAAAGTAAATACAAGTACAATATGACTGTTGATTTTAAAAAAGAATTACTGGTCGAAAATATTATATGATTCTTTAAGTGGCTGTTCATGGTACTTACTTATTACTTAATTACTAAGCTCATATATAATGAATACATATCTGTCATTTCAGTCACAAAACAACTCCTTAAGCCTAACTTACCAACGCCTCCAAATGGTGGAGGTGGAGATTTTATCAACATTCCCATTGACTCTGGAAAGGTAAAGGATCCCATTGCAGTGGGGAAACCAGTTAAAGTACCCCTATCATCAATTTCGTGGTCAATACACCCAGACAAGCTTTTGTCTGGAAAAAATGACAGAGAAATAACTGGCGTTACTAGGGAGGAATGCATGGATGAATGTAGAAAGGTAGTTTCTTACTTAAATTTCATGTTTAATTTTAAGCCCCATACACTATTGAAGGGAATTATATCTGTCATATTTGATTGTGATATACGGTATTTTATGTATCGTTCATTCTCTACATTTTACCAGAATATCTTCATTGATTCTATAGTAATATCTTTCATTTTCGTATCCAGTAGTTCTAGTCTTGCTCCAAGACCATGGACCTGTATCTATTGTACAACTGTTGTTAAAGTAGATAAAGGGGCAGGGTCTTGAAGCAAGACTTTATTTTTACTTTCAATGTGTAGGATGTAAGCTGTAAGTCCCTTGACTACTCCGGCTTTATTTGTATATTGAGCAAATCAACTGCCAAGGACGCACAGCTGAAATCGGTTTCTGGTTGGGTGTACATAGAGAAAGGGGCAGATGAATCAGTAGGTGTGTACCCACTTGTTTGAAAAATTCAACTCGAATAAAAAAGCAATGTCGGGGCACAAATTATCGTAGATGCAAGTTCTTAAATTAATCAATTAGTCAATTATAGATTAAAAGGGAATGCAAATGAACATTACTATCTTGTACTTTGCTATGATTTTAGTTTCAAGAAGTGAAAGCTTAAGATCAGGTACAGTGCAGGCAGACCAAGAATAATGCATCATGGGAATTCTTAGTTTTAATATGATATCAAACTAATGCATTGTGGGTAATTGGTGTACCCAATAAAAATGGAATAGATAATGCTTTTACCTACCCTGGGCAAAAGTCATGAAATTATACATCTATTGTCAGGAGATTGTGATCCAATCTACATTCTTGCAAAGAAATTAATGCTTTACTCGCCTATTTACAGCTTGGAATGGGCGGAGCCTTTTCAGAGACATGTTCAATATTCAAAATCAAATATATATTTGATTCAAATTTCAAAGATTGCTTCATACCCACATTTTGCTCAGTTGGCTTTATACGAACTAGTACCGAATGGCATTCATTAATACCTATAATAAAAAATGTACATATTATGCCATTGTCACATTTGTTCCGATTTTCGGTACTGGTGTCCGGCCAATGAGTATTCTGTTCAAACTTGCATCGTGTTGAAGATCGATGTAATGTGACCATGTAGGTAACATAAGGTAAACCAGGTTTATGCATGATTGTACTTATTTAGCAGAAGAGTCATCCAATATTGATGATGACAGTATGACTCTGACATCCACCGGCAGTTACTCTGAACGAAAAGGATACCTATTACCGGGTCACAACTCTAAAGAACTACGAGGTGTGACATCAATGGAAAAATGTACATAGCTGTGTGATAGTAAATCTGATTGCAAATCAGTAGACTATTCATCCAAACTAGAGTTGTGCATCATCAGCACATCGACAACTGGGGAGATTTTTTTCTTTGCTTAAGGTGGCAGGGTGGACTTATATGGAGAAGTCAGGTATTAATTATTGAAATGCATATACATTGCCTTGCTTTTTTCTTAATTTTGTATAGTGAACCAATTTGCTAATACATCATTTTGAAAACAAGTGTCTTTTGCTCCATATGATTTCTTTGGTATAAGGATGATTAGAATGATTTCCTAAAGTTAACAATCTATTTTGTCATTTGGTATTCTTTGATTGCTTAAAATGCTACATACATGCATTTTTCTACAAATAATGAGACTCCTTTAGAGAATTGTGTACCGTTTGCTATTGAGGGTACTCTATTTGATTCGATATGGTTTTGTCCTTTTAACTTGCTATAAGAGGGACAGGTACACACTGAATATTGTCACTGAGATCCTTTAAATGCATACATAAATCTTTTTATAAGATTTAAGCTTCTCGTGCATGCTTTAGCTTTTGTACGTCTTCCCTCGTTTGCTACAGCTATGTCAGCTCCTTCTACCCCATCAACCCGAAGAAAATACAAATATGAAGATGGAAAACTACTACCAGGTCACAACACAAAAGAATTGCGAGGCGTCGCTACGAAGGAAAAATGTACAGAGCTGTGTGATAGCAGGCCTGAGTGTAAATCAGTGGATTACTCTTCCAGACTAGAACTGTGCATCATCAGCACATCAACTGCTGGAAGGGATTTTTCATTGATAAATGTAGCAGGATGGATTTATATGGAGAAATTAGGTATCAATACAAGTGCTTGAGCAATCAAACTAGTCAGTACAAATTGTATTGCTTATTTTCAACGCAGTTTCGTCAGATACAGGGTGTGTAAAAAATTCAAACACACTTTGAACTGTAATTTGTACTATGCTACCGGTTTGTGGCGAATTGTGAGATTTTTCTTTTCTTAGAATTCAGAATGATCATCGTTTGATTCTTTCAACAGTTTGTTCCATATCAAAATCATTTTAGACCTCGTATATTAATGTTGTGGTTAATCGTTTTGTACATGAAGTAAACTTATCTTTGATTAATTCGTTCACAGAAAAACAAACATATTACAATTGATTATCTAGTTGAGACGATCTATACCTAAGCACTAGAAGAGTCTCAATCATACATTGACCGTGAATTCCTTGATTAAATTGCTTTATATCATTGCATGACTAAACATGATTTTTTACGCAATCCGCGTTTGCGAATACAAAAGCTTTGCTTACTATAATTATGGCGTCAAAGCTGAAACGTTGAATAAGTTTGATATATAATAATTATACACTAATGAATAAAACAGTATGGTAAATCAATAATTCATTTTCTCATTAATCTGTCAATTTTCACGTATATTTACATAATAACAATATTATACCACTTTAAAATATACCATTGCTTAACATATATGATGCGCTACAGCTACCAATGGTTTTCTCAGGTTCTGTTCCATCCTCCAAACACAGGCCTCCAGAACTCGTACCTCGTACTTCCATAACCACGGAAGAAGGAAGAAACGGAGTGGATGATGTCTGGAGCACTGCATTTGGAGGATGGTTCTGTTATATAGTTTACAAATGCCTTGCTATACGTGAATATACAGGGTGTTCAAAAAAAACGCAACCCAAAGAAATCGCTATATCTTGGAAAATACTAGTCCAATTGTGTTCATTTTTTCAGGAAAGAAAGAAGAGACTGTGTATGTATAGCTCATGTTGTTAGTTAGTTGTAAAACATGATGCCTTGGACAAATGCTCAAAAAACATTAGTATTGGAAAGATACGAAAAACGCAGTCAGAGACTACTGCCGCAGCAATAAAACCAAATAACTTTCTGACCATAGTGTTTTGGCTATTCAAATTTGGCACAAATCATCTTCATTCAATGTATGATAAATCTGTAGAGTGAAATCAAAATCACTCCAGGGACTTTACAGTTTTGGTCGAAATGCTTTCAAAACCCAGTCAAACACCCTGGTTCAGCCAGACTTAAGACTTAAGGCATTCTGACCATGACGGTAAAGTCCCTGGAGTGATTTTAATGAAACTACCCCAATTCACTATTCATTATTTGAAGATAATTTGTGGTGAATCTGAAGTGCCAAAACACCATGGTAAGAAAGTTATTAGGGTTTATTGCTCTGGCAGTCACCTCTGGTTGCGTTTTTTGTATCTTTCCAATACTAATGTCTTTTGAGAAGGTGTCCAAAACATCATGTTTTACAACTAAGTAACAGCAAGAGCTATACACACATAGTCTCTTCTTTCTTTCCTGAAAAAATGAACACATTTGGATAAGTATTTTCCAAGATATAGCGATTTCTTTGGGTTGCATTTTTTTTTGAACACCCTGTACATGATATGAATACATGATTGTACTACATTCATTGTATTTATAGTTGCACTGCAATTTTATCAAACTATTGTGACTTAAACGTAATTTTGGTCAAACATTTGCTATTGTTGTATTCAAATGCTAATCTTATCATTCCTCTTAATTATTAAATGTATAGAAGAGCCCAACTCCGACGGAGGAAAACCACCCAACCCAGAAGCAGGTACCTCCCCTGTCCAACAATTTACAAAGCATGCTGGGAAGTATATGGCAGGGGAAAATGACCACGTTCGCAGTGGGAAAACAGTAGAACAGTGTCTCCAAGACTGTCTGGTAAATTAAGAAAACAATAATACTTTTAAACACCATGTACTAATGATGGTAGTTAGAAAATGTAGGAAAAGACAAGCTAATATTATGTTTAAGTGGAAACTAAATGAGACTAGTTGTTGATGACCTTTTGTTGAGGCAACCCCGAGTTTATCTTTAGTAGATCTTCAATTAATATTATTAAGTATTTTTCTATACCATATACACGAGGGGAAAGTGTACCCGTGTATATACAACCTACCGCCGAGCAAGACACGCATATACCGCCTATCAAATGTTTGGTTAACTACATCTCATAGGAAAATGGACAATAAAGGTAATATTGGACCTCTATCAATTCCCTCGGATAGTTAGAATTGTTACTAAGATGTTCTATAATATAAAACAGGAGTTAATTAACTTATCCCCTACATTTTCAGACATCTTCGGGTCTTTGCTCGGCGGTAGGGTGTATATACACGGGTACACTTTCCCCTCGTGATATAGTTTATTTGAGTTTGAGTTGAATCGGCTTATAGAGGTTAGGTCGACTTTGAGTTGATCTGACCTTCTGTTAATTTGACCTATAGGGGTTAGGTTGACCTCGAGTTGATCTGACCGTGTGTTAAGTTGACCTATATGGGTTAGGTTGACCTCGAGTTGATCTGACCTTCTGTTAAGTTGATCTATAGGGGTTAGGTTGACCTCGAGTTGATCTGTCCTTGTGTTAAGTTGACCTATAGGAGTTAGGTTGACCTTGAGTTGATCTGACCTTATGTTAAGTTGACCTATAGGGGTTAGGTTGACCTTTAGTTGATCTGTCCTTGTGTTAAGTTGACCTATAGGTGTTAGGTTGACCTCGAGTTGATCTGACCTTATGTTAAGTTGACCTATAGGGTTAGGTTGACCTCGAGTTGATCTGAGTTGTGTTAAGTCAACCTATAAGCGTCAGGTTGACCTTGAGTTGGTCCGACCTTTTGTTAAGTTGACCTTGGACTCTAGGAATTTGGACATTTGATTTCAGAACTGGGCTGACTGTAAAGCAGTTGACTATCAGAATAGCGGTAATGTATGCATCCAGACAGCAACCCCAAGGAGTAAGGCAACTATAAGGTCCGACTCCAGTCGTGACTGGGACTTTTATGAGAGAACAGGTAATGCATTCTAATTTCAAATAAAACTTGTTAACTACAATACAACATAATGTCAAACAACTACACCAAATAACAAAAATATATTTCGATGTCAAACAACACTGGTTAACTACAATACAACATAATGTCAAACAACTACATCACATAACAACAATACATTTCGATGTCAAACAACACTGGTTAACTGCAATACAACATAATGTCAAACAATTACATCACATAACAACAATACATAACGATGTCAAACAACACTGGATAACGACAATACAACATGATGTCAAATAGCAAAAACGCCAAATCATTCTGTAAAACACATTGTTAATGGCTATAATTCTTGTTTCATAGGAGGGTCTCCCAGTGACAGTAGTGTTAAGGCAGACGTAGATAAAGACACAAACACTGAGACAGACACTGACACACCATCATCAGGGAATGGTGTGTCAGATTTTACCACAGAGAAAGGGAAATACCTCCCCGGAAACAACAAGGATGAACTCAAAGGTTTTATTTTATTAATTGAACATGATAAATCCTTAAACATGTATATCATTTAATTATGCAAGACCCAATTGCAAAACATGTTTTGAAAAATGACATTTAATGACCTAATTGCTGAATCATTTACTGTTTGAATCGAACCATATAATGGGACATGCACTATGTTTATTGATAGGACTGACTGAAAAGGAGTGCATTGAAAAATGTGCCCAGAAGAAATGGTGCATGTCCGCGGATTACATGGCAAAACGGCAAGTCTGTATTCTCAGCGAATCCTCAAGGAAGATGGGAGTTTCTCTCATCAGTAGTGCTGATTGGACCTTTCACGAGAGACAAGGTATAGACTTGGGGGACTTTAGGGCCATATTTTATGTTAAATGGGGTTGTCTTGGTCAGAAAAATATCAGTGGAATGGAAACCAAAATGATTTCCCTGACCTTAAAAAGTCAACGAATTTCACAATTCATTCAAAAATGGCAAACATTGATTAACAGTGAATTTTAGAAGTCTTAGAAAAGTTGAACCAAAAATTCATGAAAGATACATGAGATGAAAAGAAATTTATTAAATTACTATAATTAGGAAAAGAATTGAAAAATTAGAGGTATTGGAAATAAAGTCAAATTACGTTTTCATTAATAGTATTTTCATCGCAGGTTAAGTAAATAAAAATTCAAAGGTAAAGAGGCTTTAACACGTAGTCCAATGGGGGAGCTAGGGTTGCCACACTTATGGAAGGGAGTGTAAATGCATTCGTTGTACACATGTTTTCCAGATAAAAAACGAGAAGTACTGAAAAGATTGCTAGATTTACTAGAAAATAGATCGGAATGAGATCGTCCACTTTCACTGAGATCTGCTGAACATCTGTACAAATCATAACTACTTAAAGGAACCACAGAGTGATCGAGAGAATATCCTCAATGGGCAAGGACCGATGACTGTGAAAGTCGATTAGGACTCATCTCTCTGGAGTTCCAGAGAAACGACCTTATCACCTTCACCTTCCATTGGTATAATCAAGAGGATCGCCTTTATGCTTTGACGCTTCTGTATGGAATCAGATTGATTATGTAATCTATTGGCAGACGGAATATATACATTTTATTTTATGATGTAACTATAAAATATGAACCATGGGCATTCTTCTAGAGTTGGAAGCAGTGGACAGAGAAGACCTTTAAATATTAATTGTTATTGCCACAGAATCGAATAGTGACGTCATACGAAACGCTCAATAACAATTATTATTATTAATAAGTTTATTCGTCTCTTGAACATGTAATGTACATCGAGAGGTTAGTCCAATAAAGCAAATAACAAATTAAACATTCATGTACATGCATGGCAAAACAATACTTACAATCTAATTTTAACAATCACTAAGTACTATACTTAATAGCATAAAATGATTTCACGTCAATTTTGTTTAACAACTCTTTGGTAATATTATGAACTCTTGTAAAATAATCACCAATTATTTCATTAATTACATCATCGTGCGCTAACAAGGAGTATAAAAATAGACTACTTGTATTAAAATGAGAAAAACTATTGTTTATACTTTTTATTTTACTGATATATAAAGATCGAGCTAGTTTTAGTTCTGATTGAGAACAACAAAAATAAGATAATAACAATAAGATAATAAAAATGATGACCCTTCCACATAGTAGGGGGCTAAATAGTCAATAGGTGCAGTCTGTTCAGCCGTCTATACTTCCGAGCGTTTTTTCTAAATCAGGTTCCATATATGTCAAGTAAAATCGGAATCGTCTGAAAAAGGATCGAGGTGAAAATCGGGATTTATTTTCGGGAAAATCGGGAGAAAATTGGGAGAAGTGGGGTTTCTCAAATCAGAGGAAAATTGGGGAATTCTTGGGGAAAATTAATCAGGATTTTAACAGTTCGAAATAATCTGGTAAATATTTTTGAAAGATAAATTGATAGAAATATCCGATAAACAGGCTACACTGGGAACAGCTGACTTCGGAACAGTTTTCATTCGTTGGTTGGGATTTCTCCCGTGGGTCCACTCGTAATAATTTGGGTAGGTATGTGCAGCACGGGCAATTTTGGCTTAGGGCATAAACCATGGAACCTGGCCAATCTCAGAGGAAAAGAACATGGTTTGTCGAAGAGAGGGCCTTTTTAAAGTTTAAAGTTTTTTTTACAAAAAATGGTAATAAACCGGTAAAATCAGTTGGCGAGGTCTGGGAGAAATCATCCAAAACTTGGATTTTGTAGTTAATTATATACCAATATTTCAGGAAAATTCCAAGTCTGAGAGGAAGTATACATGGAAACTTTCAATCTTGAGAGGAAATTGACATGGGAAAAATGCTCAAAAGGGGGTCTTTGGCGCGGCACATAGGTATTAAGAGGTATATTGGAGTGAAACCCCCGGGGGATTTCTCTATATATATCGGAGTTTGGTATTGTTTGTTGTTATTTGCCTCTCAACTATCGACTTAACAATATCAAACATAAACAACATAAAATGATTTTTAGCAGGCGGGAACCAAAAAAGATTGGCTCCCAGGGACGCAACTCGATATTTCCAACAATGAAAATGTCAGAATGTCGTTATTTTCTGACATTATAACTGACTATGAATTCATGATCAACAGTTCAAGACATTCGAACCAATATCTCGATCACTTCTTGTTATCGTGTCTTTCCACTTTTTGTTGGGAAGTAAGACCAAAACTCGCGATTCATATTCTGAACTGAACAAAATGGCGGCTGTTTGAATTTGAAATTTGTAATCCGAAATCTCCATAGATGGCAGAATATCGAGGAGGAACACGGGGGCCAATCCTCCTTGTAGGGGAGCCAGGGAACCTAAAATGGATCATATGCCCATCTTATGAGAAATCACAATCATATTCCAAATTAAAGCCAAGTATGTCAGGTTCTTCACTCCATCCTTCATTAGTCTTGAACTAGGATTGCCGTTGCCATAACAACCAAAAACAACAACATTAGGGAAACTTTACCCCCCCCCCCCCTATCACACCAAACTAGTTCTTATCCGTTCTTGCCAGTCCTACGAAAACGTCGTAAAACGGACTCAATCTGGCTGTGGTCGGGAAATATGTCTAAAATAGTTAGTTACTTCGTTCATAAACAGTCTTCATTACGTGCATCTCATTCGCAGTTCGTGCAGGTCGCACCACGTCGGTGTGCAACGTCGTATAACGCGTCCCTTAGTCTAGAAGGTCATCATGACCTGATTACAGAACGGTATGGTCGCCATCGAATTTTGGATCATTTCAAAATTCTAAAATCACCTTCCCGTCTGAGAGCGTTCATAAAGTTCGTAAATAGTCCTTAGAAAGTTGCAGCTACGTTCATTCCGTTCGCACACAATTTAAAACCAGTTTTGAAGAACGCAGTGGCAACTTGTTTGGTGTGATAGCTATATTTTTGCTAACTCGTTCATAAGCAGTCTTTAATACGTTCTTAATCAGTTCAAACCCGTTTGCAATTAGTTATACCTCGTTCTGGATACGTCCTCAGACAGTTCAACTCGTAAAAACGTCCCTAGTAGGATTGAAGTACGACGGTTCCGTTTGTAGTACGTCCAGTTCGTCGTTAGTACGTTGTCACTCGTTCTAATTGTAGAACGTGACGACCACGAGGGCATTTTGAGCATGTTCTAAGTTCTAGAGGACCTACCAGTTCAAGTACGTTCGATGAAGTTTGTAAAAGGACCCAAACGGTTCTAAGTACGTCCAGTCCATTCGTGCACAGTTTAAGTCCGTTTTCGAGAACGTAGTGAGAACTAGTTTGGTGTGATAGTAGGGTAAATAACAAAACAACATAAAGCAAGGTTATTGATATATCTGTCATGTATTTTATCATATTGTATTAATATTGGTGTCAATTGGAAGATATTGGACTGCTTTGGACGTTAGATTTCATACTTGACCATATTTTGACTGAAATCATGATTCGAGAAGTATTACAGTAAAATAAAACAAAACAATAAAGCAATTTGATTAGGCTGTATTCTTATTTGATTATGCAGCGTAGAAAAAATCCTTAAATGTAATGCAATGCTGTTTGGTCTTTGATTCTCTGTCCACTGCTTCCAACTCTAGAAGAATGCCCATGGTTCATATTTTATAGTTACATCATAAAATAAAATGTATATATTCCGTCTGCCAATAGATTACACAATCAAAGTGATTCCATACAGAAGCGTCAAAGCATAAAGGCGATCCTCTTGATTATACATGGAAGGTGAAGATGATAAGGTCATTTCTCTGGAACTTCATAAAGATGAGTCCTAATCGACTTTCACAGTCATCAGTCCTTGCCCATTGAGGATTTTCTCTCGATCACTGTGGTTCTTAAGTAGTTATGATTTGTACAGATGTTCAGCAGATCTCAGTGAAAGTGGACGATCTCATTCAGATCTATTTTCTAGTAAATCTAGCAATCTTTTCAGTACTTCTCGTTTTTTATCTGGAAAACATGTGTGCAACAAATGCATTTACATATATAAAGAAATGAGATGGATCGGGTGAGCTGTCATGGTGGAGAACAGTACAACGGTTATAATCCCGACTTTTCAAGTCCGTCAATTTAATACACAGTCACAATCTAAGTTTGAAATGATAATCTTACGACAATGAGGAAGCTCAAACGGAAACAGACGAACGGTTATCTGAAATTTCACAGATAATAACTTGCAATATGGACGCCTTAATCCAAAATGGCCACTTGCAAGTACATAAGCTGTAGATATCATTAAAAATAAATTGAAAAAGTTTTAACAGCTCTGCAGAATTAAAATAACAATTACCATTACTTTGACTTTACCAAGTGCATCCTATTTTATCAACGAGAATTTAAATATTGATTACTAGCTCCATGCATCTCATTATAGTAATTTAATAAATTTCTTTTCATCTTATGTATCTTCCATGAATTTTTGGTCCAACTTTTTCTAAAAGATTAGATTTCTAAAATTCACTAGCAATTAATGTATGCCATTTTTGAATGAATTGTGAAATTCGTTAAATTTGTAAGGTCAGGGGAAATCATTTTGGTTTCCACTGATATTTTTCTGACCAAGACAACCCCATTTAACATAAAATATGGCCCTCCAGTCCCCCAAGTCTATACCTTGTCTTTCGTGATAGGTCCAATCCGCACTACTGATGAGAGAAGCTCCCATCTTTCTTGAGGATTCGCTGAGAATACAGACTTTACGTTTTGCCATGTAATCTGCGGACATGCACCAGCTCTTCTGGGCACATTTTTCAATACACTCCTTTTCAGTCAGTCCTATCAATAAACATTATACATGGTGTTCCAAAAGTAACAGGACTGGTGCTGGCATTTTGTTAAATATGCACCAATCGTCTTCCAAATTTTACATAATGTACTGTCATGTATCGTTACTAAAATTGCAAAGTTTCGACAAAAAATATGTAACTCGGGTAGAGTTATGGTTGCTATGGTAACATGACATCACAATACCCGGGGCAACATTCCACACAGAAAGTTACATTAAGACAGAAAGAGACATTAAGCATTTTGTACATCCCATATCAAAGTTAAAATGCAACAACTGGTGGGAATTACATTTGTTTTACATAATTTGATATTCCTATGTATCCTATGTACTTTGAAAAATAGGCTCCTATTTGGTCAGTAGAAGAGTAACACTCTGTATCCATGACACATGAGTGAACCCATTTGAGGACATGTCACGCATGGTCGATTGAACAACTTGGAGAAGGTCATTCTCATCTTTAAAGATCTTGCAGCACTGATTAGCATTCCATTCCCCATGTAAGTAAAAATTGGATGTTGCATGATCAGAAGTGTATGGTACGTGGTTTTAGAACTCAAGACCTAGCTCCTCTATAGCTGCATAGTCTTTAATGGTGACCTGCGGGCAGGCGCCTTATCGTGGTGGATGACTGGCTTCAAATTGGGTATTTTCAAAAACTCAACCATAAATTGTTCAGACTGTAATTCATAGTGATATTCCAGGAAATTGAATAAGTATCATTATAATGAAATTATACTTGAATCTGAATTTTATAGCAACACCTTTACAACAAAGCAACTAATAAAATAAATAAGAAATGTTGTATTATAATAGAGGAAATAGATCCTTTCTTCAGTTATACAAAAATTTTAGATATCACATTTTCAGAAAAAAGTTGCCCCGGGTATTGTGATGTCATGTTGCTATAGTAACCACAACTCTACCCGTATTTCATCATTTTTTCTGAAACTATACAATTTTAGTTGCAATACTTCAAAGTACAATTTGTGAAAATCTGAAGACACTCGGTGCAAAATTGACAAAATGCCAGCACCAGTCCTGTTACTTTTGGAACACCCTGTATGGTACGATTCAAACAGTAAATGATTCAGTAATTAGGTCATTCTATTATATACATATTTATTTTATTATTAACATAATTTAACGTTCTGTTGAGGGGCCAAATCTTAGAAGGTGGACTGAGAGGTGAGAAAACAAATTAAAAAACACAGGATGAATATACGGGGTAAAGCTGGCTGAAGTTGGTCATTTGAGAAAACATAGTATGACATGTTTTTAAAAAAGTTGTTAGTTTTCAATTCGAAAATGTTCTCATTAAATGGTCATTTTTCATGTTTTGCGATTGGGTCATGCATAATTAAATGATATACATGTACAAGGATTTATCATGTTCAATTAATAAAATAAAACCTTTGAGTTCATCCTTGTTGTTTCCTGGGAGGTATTTCCCTTTCTCTGTGGTAAAATCTGACACACCATTCCCTGATGATGGTGTGTCAGTGTCTGTCTCAGTGTTTGTGTCTTTATCTACGTCTGCCTTAACACTACTGTCACTGGAAGACCCTCCTGTAAAACAAGAATTATAGCCATTAATAACAATGTGTTTTACAGAATGTTTTTGCTGTTTGATATCATGTTTTATTGTAGTTATCCAGTGTTGTTTGACATCGTTATGTATTGTTGCTGTGTGATGTAGTTGTTTGACATCATGTTGTATTGTAGTTAAGCAGTATTATTTGACATCGAAATGTATTGTTGTTATGTGATGTAATTATTTGACATTATGTTGTACTGTAGTTAACCAGTTTTGTTTGACATCGAAATGTATTGTTGTTATGTGATGTAGTTGTTTGACATTATGTTGTGTTGTAGTTAACCAGTGTTATTTGACATCGAAATGTATTTTTTTGTTATTTGGTGTAGTTGTTTGACATTATGTTGTATTGTAGTTAACCTGTGTTATTTGACATAATAAATTAGAATGCATTACCTGTTCTCTCATAAAAGTCCCAGTCACGACTGGAGTCGGACCTTATAGTTGCCTTACTCCTTGGGGTTGCTGTCTGGATGCATACATTACCGCTATTCTGATAGTCAACTGCCTTACAGTCAGCCCAGTTCTGAAATCAAATGTCCAAATTCCTAGAGTCCAAGGTCAACTTAACACAAGGTCAAACCAACTCAAGGTCAACCTAACCCCTATAGGTCAACTTAACACAAGGTCAGATCAACTCAAGGTCAACCTGACTCCTATAGATCAACTTGACACAATTCAGATCAACTCGAGGTCAACCTAACCCCTATAGGTCAACTTAACACAAGGTCACGTCAACTCTAGGTCAACCTAACTCCTATTGGTCAACTTAACACAAGGTCAGATCAACTCGAGGTGAACCTAACCCCTATAGGTCAACTTAACAGAAGGTCAGATCAACTCGAGGTCAACTTAACCCCTATAGGTCAACTTAACAGAAGGTCAGATTAACTTGAGGTCAACCTAACCCCTATAGGCCGATTCAACTCAAACTCAAATAAACTATATGGTATAGAAAAATACTTAATATTAATTGAAGATCTACATGTACTCAAGATAAACTCGGGGTTGCCTCAACAAAAGGTCATCAACAACTAGTCTCATTTAGTTTTCACTTAAACATAATATTAGCTTGTTTTCCCACATTTTCCCACTGCAATCATTAGTACATGGTGTTAAAATTATTTAAATGTATTATTGTTTTCTTAATTTACCAGACAGTCTTGGAGACACTGTTCTACTGTTTTCCCACTGCGAACACGGTCATTTTCCCCAGCCATATACTTCCCAGCATGCTTTGTGAATTGTTGGACAGGGGAGGTACCTGTTTCTGGGTTGGATGGTTTTCCTCCGTCGGAGTTGGGCTCTTCTATACATTTAATAATTAAGAGGAATGATAAAATTAGCATTTGAATACAACAATAGCAAATGTTTGACCATAAGTACGTTTAGGTCTTAATAGTTTGATAACATTGCAGTACAATCATAAATACAATGAATGTAGTACAATCATGTATTCATAACATGCATAATCACGTATATGTATAGCAAGGCATATATAAACTATATAATAGAACCATCCTCCAAACGCAGTGCTCCAGACATCATCCACTCCGTTTCTTCCTTCTTCCCTGGTTATGGAAGTACGAGGTACGAGTTCTAGAGGCCTGTGTTTGGAGGATGGATTAGAACCTGAGAACACCATTGGTAGCTGTAGCGCATCATATATGTTAAGCAATTTTATAGTGGTATAATATTGTTATTATGTAAATATACGTGAAAATTGACAGATTAATTAGAAAATGAATGATTGATTTACCAAACTGTTTTTTTCATTAGTGTATAATTATGATATACCAAACTTATTCAACGTTTCAGCTTTGACGCCATAATTATAGAAAGCAAAGCTTTTGTATTCGCAAACGCGGATTGCTTAAAAATCATGTTTAGTCATGCAATGATATATAAAAGCAATTTAATCAAGGTATTCACGGTCAATGTAGATTGAGACTCTTCTAGTGCTTAGGTATAGAGCGTCTCAACTAGATAATCAATTGTAATATGTTTGTTTTTCTGTGAACGAATTAATCAAAGATAAGTTCACTTCATGTACAAAACGATTAACCACAACATTGGTATACGAAGTCTGAAATGATTTTGATATGGAACAAACTGTTGAAAGAATCAAACGATGATCATTCTGAATTCTAAGAAAAGAAAAATCTCACCATTCGCCAGTGACCGGTAGCATAGTACAAATTACAGTTCAAAGTATGTTTGAATTTTTTACACACCCTGTATCTGACGAAACTGCGTTGAAAATAAGCAATACAATTGTACTGACTAGTTTGATTGCTCAAGCACTTGTATTGATACCTGATTTCTCCATATAAATCCATCCCGCTACATTTATCAATGAAAAACCCCTTCCAGCAGTTGATGTGCTGATGATGCACAGTTCTAGTTTGGATGAGTAATCCACTGATTTACACTCAGGCCTGCTATCACACAGCTCTGTACATTTTTCCTTCGTAGCGACGCCTCGCAATTCTTTTGAGTTGTGACCTGGTAGTAGTTTTCCATCTTCATATTTGTATTTTCTTCGGATTGATGGGGTAGAAGGAGCTGAAATAGCTGTAGCAAAAGAGGGAAGAGGTACAAAAGCTAAAGCATGCACGAGAAGCCTAAATCTTATGGAAAGATTTATGTATGTAATTAAAGGATCTCAGTGACAATATTTAGTGTGTACCTATCCCTCTTATAACATGCCAAAAGGACAAAACCATATCGAATCAAATACAGTACCCTCAATAGCAAACTGTACACAATTCTCTAAAGGAGTCTCATTATTTGTAGAAAAATGCATGTAGCATGTTAAGCAATCAAGGAATATCAAATGACAAAATACATTGTTAACTTTAGCAAATCATTCTAATCATACATATACCAAAGACATCATATGGAGCAAAAGACTCTGGTTTTCAAAATGATGTATTAGCAAATTGGTTCACTATACAACATTCAGAAATAAGCAAGGCAAGCTATATGCATTTCAAATAATTTATACCTGACTTCTCCATATAAGTCCACCCTGCCACCTTAAGCAAAGAAAAATCTCTCCCAGCTGTCGATGTGCTGATGATGCACAACTCTAGTTTAGATGAATAGTCTACTGATTTGCAATCAGATTTACTATCACACAGCTCAGTACATTTTTCCTTGGAAGTCACACCTCGTAGTTCTTCAGAGTTGTGACCCGGTAATAGGTATCCTTTTCGTTCAGAGTAACTGCCGGTGGATGTCGGAGTTTTGCTGTCGTCATCACTATTAAATGACTCTTCTGCTAAAACAGTACAATTCATGCATATACCTGGTTTACCTAAGTTCTAGAACAGAACCCCTTCCTTACATCAAAGGAGTGATTCAAAATTGGTCCGATTAATGCCGTGGTCGCGTTTGCCCCTATCTTCAAAATGGTGCAGGTCCGATGAGCGCAAAACTGAATGCAATTTTGAACAAAATACTCATCAGCCGGGCTCCAGTACTGAAAATCGGAGCAAAAGTGACAAAGGCATAATAAGTGATATTGGTTTTAATGAATGCCATTCGGTACTAGTTCGTATAAAGCCAATTGAGCAAAATGTGGGTATGAAGCAATATTTGAATTTTTGATTCAAATATATACATGATTATGAATATTGAACAGATCTTTTAAAAAGCTCCGCCCATTCCAAGCTGTAAATAGGCAAGTAAGCATTAATCACTTTGCAAGAATGTAGATTGGATCGCGATCTCCTCAATAGATGTACAATTTCTTGACTTTTGCCCAGGGTAGGTCAAAGCATTGTTTATTCAATTTTTAGCGGGTACACCAATTACCTACAATGCATTAGTTTGATATCATATTAAAACTAAGAATTCCCATGATGCATTATTCTTGTCTGTACTGTACCTAATCTTAAGCTTTCACTTCTTAACACTAAAACCATAGCAAAGTACAAGATAGTAATGTTCATTTTCATTCCATTTTAATCCATAATTGAGTTAATTTAACAACCTGCATGTTCGATAACTTGTGCCCCGACATTGCTTTTTTATTAGAGTTGCATCTTTCAAACAAGTGGGTACATACCTACTGATTCATCTGCCCCTTTCTCCATGTACACCCAACCAGAAACCGATTTCAGCTGCGCGTCCTTGGCAGTTGATTTGCTCAATATACAAATAAACCCCGAGTAGTCAAGGGACTTACAGCTTGCATCCTACACATTACAAACAATGAAAGTAAAAATAAAGTCTTGCTTCAAGACCCTGCCCCTTTACAGTTGTGCAATAGATACGGGTCCATGGACTTGGAGCAAGACTAGAACTACTGGATACGAAAATCTGAGATATTACTATAGAATCAATGTTGAGTAAAATGTAGAGAATGAAAGATATACATAAAAATGCCGTATATCACAATCAAATATTACAGATATAATTTCCGTCAATAGTGAATGGGGCTTAAAATTAAACATAAAACTCTAATAAGAAGTACTACCTTTCTACATTCATCCATGCATTGCTCCCTAGTAACGCCAGTTATTTCTCTGTCATTTTTTCCAGACAAAAGCTTGTCTGGGTGTATTGACCACGAAATTGATGATAGGGGTACTTTGACTGGTTTCTCCACTGCAATGGGATCCTTTACCTTTCCAGAGTCAATGGGAATGTTGATAAAATCTCCACCTCCACCATTTGGAGGCGTTGGTAAGTTAGGCTTAGGGAGTTGTTTTGTGACTGAAATGACAGATATGTATTCATATGAGCTTAGTAATTAAGTAATAAGTAAGTACCATGAACAGCCACTAAAGAATCATATAATATTTTCGACCGGTAATTCTTTTTTAAAATCAACAGTCATCTTTTACTTGTATTTACTTAAGAGGCAATTACAAAATTCGTTTGATCAAACTTTTTGTTTTTTGTGTTCGTCTTTTATATTTGTATTGCTTGTAGTCATAACATATTTGTCAACTTCAAAGAATATCAAAAAATATTAAAACAACTTAAATTATGTCAAATAGATATATGCCGAGCCCTATTGGTTAAAAAGTATATTTACATGGGTTGCATTTTGGTACACCCTGTTTTGCACTATTGAATCAAATTGAGAACGTTGCAAATGTCAAATTAATATCCTCTACCATATCTGAAAAGTGATCACTATTTTCAATTTTCTCATCCATTTTTATCATTAGGTAAATTGGCAATTATTAGATTACTAATTAAATAGGATACATACCTTTCCCTTTGATGGCAATGTCGTCAATTGCCATGTCAGAGCTCCATGGTTTAGGACCTAGTTCACCTTCAAATACGATACTCTGTCGACCAGGGTTTAGAGGCACAGCCGTCGTATTCCAATGGAAGGATTGCTCACCTGTTTATATACAGTTTTTTGAAGTGCAAAACATATAAGTTTTCATTTTCTCAGAGAAACATGCTTGTTGACCAGTATTATAAATGACGCATGTTTTGTTCAAGAAAGCCTTGGTACCCTTTACTTAAGGTGAAAAATCTTATTCTTACGTCACGATCAATATGCAATGAGTATTAATTTAGTGTTAGTTAACCCTTATTGATACACAGTTGTACCTTTTGTTTCTGGGAGCTTTTTCATTTAACTTACCACTAATTGACCAAAGCAGAGATTCACGACCATCTTTCTGAGAATACACGTTTAGTGATCCTATACCTGCACCACACATGTTCCAAAAGAACTCAACACTTGACCCGGAACTGACGTCAAACGTAGGAGAAATCAAGCGCGCTTTCTGACCTGGCTTTTTCTTGCTTCCATCGGTGTACATATAGTAACCTAAATAAAATAATTTTGGATGAGCTTTTGAAGTATTTCTTAAATCATATTCTGTACTTAACTATACCTTAATTTCTTGCACAATAATCCAATAACCCCCATGGCCAAAAACACTTTCAAAATCATGCAGTTTTTCACCATTTTGAGCACATTCCAAGAGATTTTAGGCCAAATTGTCAGATTTGACCCCCTCTCTGGTTTATACTTTTTCATCATGCAAGCCCAATGTCCTCAACTTTTAATTTGAACATAAAATGAATGCACACACCTGTGTCTCGTCCCCCAGTGGTATGGTCACCAGCTGGTCCTGTTTGACCATCAGGGGTTCCTCCTGTATTCTTCGTCCATGTAAAGTCAGCCTTTAGATCGTTTGAGAACCCACAGTCATCCTCTTCAAAGTCGCATTGGAAAACCACTCCTGTTGGTGTCTCACCTTCAATATTAAAAGAAAACTTTCGCTGTATAATCTTAATGATAATAGCGTGGGTATCCTAAAGGGGTGTAAATCATTTTAGTTGTCCTTTAAGCTAAATTATATCAAGCAAATCTACAACCTGGTTGTAATATTGGAACACGGTTTAAGCTGAATAGTAAACGTGGGACAATTTGTAAGGTTAGTAGGAAGGAGCACTGTGTCTTTTTTAATGAAGTCATTCCTGTTTAAAGACCCATGAGGTAAACTCTGTAAGGATAAATATAAAAGAACTACACCGGAGAAACCAAAAAGTATTAAAAGAGAGTTATCAAAGGAACAAAGATAGTTTGAGCATATACCAGTGCATGGAGACAAACCCAAGCATCCCGATCCCCAAAAAAGCCAGTTTAACGTAAAACAGATACAACGTCTCTCACTTTTTACAACCCCAGAGAACAATACATAGAACATTTATAGTGATGTCTTCACATTAAACTTTTGGATTTGATATAGCTGGGTTGTAAAGAAAGAGTTGTCTTACAGGAATCGCCTGTGTACTCCTTGGGACAGTGACAGATACACCCAGTGTTAGGTAGCAGAGTACCTCCGTTTTGACATACGTAGTTGCTGGGACACTTCTGCGGAGATCCTGAAATGCGTAAGGTATAACTAATACAATTACTAATGTGATGATTTCATTTAATTACATTTTATTTACAATGATCGAACAGTTGCAGAATACACTGTGACACATTATTCTAGATCTCGCTTAATTATGGCGATCATAAAATGTTGTGTTGATAGCTAGTTCAGTGCGTAAATCAGTGATGTACTCACTGCAAAGCCCGTTATCACATTGGCTCTTGTCGGATGGACATTGCGAACACTTCGGACCCTCCTTGAAAATCTTCTTGTTCTGCCAATGCCTGTTATTTGAATAGTATAGCCAAAAGTAATAGCAAAAGTTGAACTGAATTCATTTTATTTTGAACACATGAAATTTTCAAGCAATCCATTACTACTGGATTTTACTAATCTGCTATTGGCCGATTTTACATCAACTCGAAATTTCTGAAAATGTAACTATAATATTCATTATGTCCAAATATATAGTAATTGGCTCATACGTAGTTCAGAAGGGTGATCTACAAGCGGATATCTACATCAACAGATAAATGATATTATTAGATTTTGATTGGTTAGTCAAAATCCTCAAGATTTTCAGAGAAATCTTTTTCGAGATTATGATATCGCATATCATACATCATGTGAGAAAATTAACTTAGAAGATTGTCTTTATATAATTGCTTGCTTATTTCTTTACTTAAAATACATACCCTGGTAAGTAGTTGCAAACAACATAGTACCAATGGATTTCATAATCGGGAAATGCATTTTTGAGGCGTTCGCAATATGATATGCCACATCCCATACGATCCGTCCCAGCCCATGCAAACTGAAAGAGCAAATTGTGTTTAGTTTGTGTGTTTGATGTGCAAAAAATATGGTCAAAAGTAGAACAACATGGTAGTGCATCTTGGAAACCCACTTTTTGTTTTCAAAATAATCTGTTTCATTGGGTTAGTCATATACTTTAGTGTAGCACATATGGCACACTGCATACTCTCACATATACCCGTGTGTCCACGTTGCATGCATTCATATTCATCCTATTGTGGTGCCAATATGCATGCGTTCATATTTACCCGATTGTAGTGTCCACATTGCATGACATAAAACATAACCCTATTGTGGTGCCAACATGCATGCGTTCATATTTACCCGATTATTGTCTCCACATTGCATGATTTACCTGGGTATAGTGCCGACATCGAAGCTTTCATATTTACCTTGGTGTATTGTCCACACTGAATGCCTTCAACTTTCTAGGGTGTAATGTCCACATTACATGCCTTCATATTTACTTGGTTGTAGTGTCCACATTGCATGATTTACCTGGGTATAGTGTCGACATGGAAGCTTTCATATTTACCTGGGTGTATTGTCTACACTACATGCCTTCATATCTACCTGGCTGTAGTGTCCACACTGAATGCCTTCAACTTTCTAGGGTGTAATGTCCACATTACATGCCTTCATATTTACTTGGTTGTAGTGTCCACATTGCATGATTTACCTGGGTATAGTGTCGACATGGAAGCTTTCATATTTACCTGGGTGTATTGTCTACACTACATGCCTTCATATCTACCTGGTTGTAGTGTCCACACTGAATGCCTTCAACTTTCTAGGGTGTAATGTCCACATTACATGCCTTCATATTTACTTGGTTGTAGTGTCCACATTGCATGATTTACCTGGGTATAGTGTCGACATGGAAGCTTTCATATTTACCTGGGTGTATTGTCTACACTACATGCCTTCATATCTACCTGGCTGTAGTGTCCACACTGAATGTCTTCAACTTTTCCTCTTTTCTGTAGTGTCCACATTGCATGCCTTAACATATTACCTGAGTGTAATTTTCACTTTTGCATGCCTTCGCACTTTATGAGGGTGTTGTGTCGTACCATAAAAAAAACTGATTGTAGTGTCCACACTGCATGCCTTCATATTTACCTGTGTGTAATGTCCAAATTGTATGATTTACCTGTTTGTAATGTCCAAATTGTATGATTCACCTGTGTGTAATGTCCAAATTGTATGATTCACCTGTGTGTAATGTCCATATTCGTATGATTTACCTGTGTGTAATGTCCACATTGCATGCCTTCACATTTCTGCGAGTAGTAATTATAGTAATTGATCTCTTCCCACCAGCTGTACATACTTCGTTCTTCATCGAAGCTCCCTAAAAGACACGAAAGTTGATCAAAACAATGCATTATCAATTAAAAATTGTAGATTCACGAATCCAAAGAATGGAAGGTCAATCTGGACGTATGAAATTACGACCAATCAATAAGTTTCAGACAAATGAGATGTGCACCATATAAGTGGATGGATAAGTAAGTATACAACACAACACAAATGCGTCAACCAGGTGTACTAATATTAAGTTGCTCCTCTTAGGGTACGTACTCCTCTAAGGGTCTGTACCTGGTGCTATAAACAATTTGACCATTGATATCCCTGTAATGCATAAAATTATGAAATTTCATTCTGCCAAGCCTGCCATATGTAAATCCAGTAAGTAGTTCAGGCTACATTGAACATGATAACTCAAAAAACAATTAATAAAATTAAGTGGCTTTATTTATACGATAATACAAGATAAAAACGTACACGACCAGGCTTGCATATTCTGTCCAATGAACTCGTTGGGGTCTCTTCCCTGTTTGGCTAGGGTCTCACCCGGCTGTCCGTGTTTATAGACACATTTATCTGCCCAGACCTGGGCCAGTTCGGCAAGCTCTGGGTCCCAAATCTAAATAACAAATAACATATTTGTTTTACATATCATTGAGGACTACGTCACTACATCCTATTCTTTTTTGCAGTTCAAAAATAGGGTTGGGTAGTTGTACTACATGGTTATACTGTGTTCTGAATGGTCATAAATTGATATTGCATGCCCAGCTACGTGTGAAATATAATTTCATATTTCTGCGATAATAATTGCTTTACGAACAAAATTTCTGTTATGGATAAAGTACTGGGTTTTAGGAGGAATGACAGCTAGCCGAGAGGCTCGAACCTTCTTCTTCTAAGACTCAGTACGAATGGGTTATCTAACTTAAACCCCACACTGATTTTTATGAAAGGTAAATTGCTCATTATCTAATTTTAGGAAAATGTATGATGATGGAAGCATGTTGAGCTCCAAATTGAGCATGTGATGCTTACGATGTAGTTCATATTCGCTGCCGAGCGTCTAGTTTTTGCTCGATGTACATTGTGGTAGTTGATGAAATGTTCTTTTTCTTTGAAGCTTATACTGTGTTTATCTGCATCTGTCTTTAGCAGAAATTCTTTATCGCTATTCGGTGACATCCACGTGCATTTGACATCCCAGCGTCCCGAGGTTCCACGCTTTTCAGTATCAAGTATTTCTCGCAGAAATTGGGCTAGCGTTCCAGAGGAAGTGTCTTCACCTATAAAACAGATCGAGAACGAGTTAACGAGTTCTGGGTTTGTAAGTTTTTATAGGCGTACCAATTTATATTTTGCTGGGTGTTTCGAAATATCTTTAAAGTCAAGGTAGGCTTGACGATGGTTGAAGATCTTTAATATTATTACTACTGTCATTTATCTGTCTATATAGACTGAGTTTATAGAGACTACAAGAACAATTTCATTACAGGCTCCTTTAAAGTAACATACATGTATGTAACATAATTACAAAATTCAAAATATATATACTATACAATTATAACATTGTAGAAAATTAGAATGAGTTTTTTCAGTGAAACCATCATTCATCGGATATTGTAACAAAATGTAGGTCTAAATTTAAACAGATTATTATCAATTATCCTACACGTTATAGTGTTCTAAATGTATAATTACAAACCAATATGTGGAGGTTATTGTGACGATATACTGCACTCCGCTTGTTGCTTTTATACATTTTTATACATTTAGTGCACTAGGTGAAATTTTTCAGAATATCGTTTTAATTTTCTCGGTGATATTGATATCCTATAAATACATACCTCCGTATACGTTAGCCGCAAGTACAGCATCTACTAGAAAGATTGCTGCTAAGCACGTGAATCTCAACACTTTTGTCATCTCTTCCTGTATGTGCCCCGTATCCTGACTAGATTATCTTCCCAATGTCCTTTCCTTCACACGACGAATCCTGTTCAAATGGGATGGCGGTTATACCATAAATTTTATATTTATACATTTAATTTATACTTCAAAGGATCAACCTTGAAAGATTTCTATAATATATTTTTGACATTCATTCATGAAAACATCTGATATGTAACCTTGTATATCATCGTAATTGCACAACGACGCTTTAACCTTTTGGTTACCATTACAAGGTATTTTTAATTGCTGTTACATTTTGCCACTATTGCCAAAATAAAAAATGTTCAACATAAATTAAATGTACCTTTAATGACTCTTCTATTTCATAACAATGACATATTAGTCACAAAATAAAGTCAGCCTTTTAAACAAAGAGTCAATACAAACAACTTTTAAGTTTTAAAAAACATTAAAAATGACATCCTCTGAGAGAAAATCTTGTCGCTAAACTATCATTCTTGGTATGTTTGTTTGTTTGTTTGTTTTTATTTTTTATTTATAGTGGTAAGTCTATACAACAAAGTCAAACAAAATAAGTTTATGTAAAACAACCCAGCCCACCTTGGGCTTATTAACCACTTCAAATAACATTTAATAACAAATTCAAAATATAAATATAAGTTACAGGTTCATGGATCCTTATAAATCAGCTGCTGTCTTCTTACATATGCCTCTCTAATATATTTAACAATTTTACAAGTCTCATTTTCAAAAAGATATTTAATTCTTAAGCCATCAGGCTGTACATGATGATTCAAATTACCAAAATATTTCTCCCGAAGGTCCTTATATACCTCACAATAAAATAGGAAATGGGCCTCTGATTCAACCTCATTATTGTTACATAAAGTACAAATTCTATTTTCAACTTTTTCTCCTCTAAATCGCCCTGTTTCTATGTGCAGGGGTAAAATTCCTAATCTTAACTGAGCCGAAAGGCTCCGCTCAAATTTTGTAAAATTAAGTGAAAGATATTTTTCTGCTTTAAAGTCTGTCTTGAATGTTGCATATGTTCTTAATTTAGGTTTTGCCTTTACATTATTTAACCATTCTAGAGTATAATTATTTAAGAGCCCCCTTTTTAAAAGGGTTAAATCAACAAAATCAGTATTTACATATTTTGCTTCCATTTCAACAGATTGTAATATATTTCTAACTGCCTTCATCCAGTTATTATTGCGGTCTTTACTCCATTTAAAAATTCTTTTAGTAAGGCGACCACTTTCAAGATTTACAAACCTGTTCCACAATCTTATAGTTTCTATCTTATGTACAATCTCTAATGGGAGATACCCCGTCTCTCCCTGAACACCTGCTAGAGGGGCAAAGCGATGAACCCCAAGTAAAAATCGTTGTGCCCTATTATGAACATTATTACATACTTTAAGCATGTGCTGGTCATATCCCCAGACTCCTACAGCATAATTTAAAACAGGGATAACACAAGAATTGTAAAGTTTTGTGAATGTCTTAAAACCTAGATCACTGACACCCTTACAACGATTAATGATAGAACCAAGGGCTCTGCTTGCAGCATCAGACAATGTATTGGCAGTTTTAACAAAATTTCCAAACTCGCTGAAGAAAATCCCAAGGTATTTATAATCACTAACAATTTTAAGTCTTTTACCCTCAAGTGTAAATATGAAATCAGTTACTTTATTGCTTTTGGGTCTAAAGTGTAAAATATTTGATTTGTCAATATTTGTCCTCAATCTCCATTTGAAGCACCATTTACTTACAATATCTAGCATTTGCTGCAATTTTTCTGGAGAGTCTGACAGCAGTACAATATCATCAGCATATGCTAAAACTGATACATTAGTATCTTTATCTATATTTAAGCCAAGCTTTGACTGTTTTATCTCTTTTAGCAAATCATTAATATAAAGGGCAAAAAGACTCGGAGATAATGTATCTCCTTGCCGTACTCCTGACTTTGTAGGAAACCAGTTAGTCAGCATATCATTAATTTTTACAGCAGACAGAGTTCCAATATACATACTCTTTATAGCATTATACATTTTTCCATTAACACCATGTTTAAGAAGTGAGTAAAAAAGTAAATCCCTGTTAACTAAATCAAAAGCTTTCTGCAAATCTATAAAACCTGCATACACATTATTGTTATTCTTTATTGCATCTTGCACGATAGCATTTAATGTAAATATGTGATCAGAACATGATCTTTTTTTCCTAAAACCATTTTGTTCATCCACCAAAAGATCATGTTCTTCTGAAAAAGAGATGAGTCTATTATTAATGATACTGCTATATAATTTATACACACAGGATAAGATACTTATACCTCTGTAGTTTAACGGGACACGCTTATCTTTATTACCAGATTTGGGGATTGGAAAAATAACTGCTCTCAGCCAAACACTAGGGATTTTTCCACTCTCAAAACATAAGTTAAAAAATGCATGCAAAATAAGTTTAACATTTTCAAATTTAAGGACCTCATTTGGTAAGCCATCATAACCTTTTGTCTTAAAATTTTTGGCTTTAATCAGAACCAATGAGATTTCTTCTAATGAGATACCAACATTGATATCAGCATTGGATAATCCATGTTGCTCTAAAATTCCAAACTCCGACATTACATTCTTATAAAATTCATTATCAAAACCATCATGTTTCGGATTATACAATGCTTTATATTCTGCTTCCCATTGCGAGATAACAGAGTCTAAAAAGGGGTTAATAACCCATTTGAAGTCTAATAATAAATGGATCGTTGGTCATAGATTATTATCCCCGTTGACGTTCTATTTTATCCCAATTTACTGTTAGCAGCAGATTTTTTACAATGTTCCATTAGCCCAAATGACCTTAACAAATAAATAAAAATGAAAGTCTATTGAAATTAGGGTCCGAAATAGAGTACACCTTGATTTTATTGACAGTAAACTTGAGTTGACATTGTCGAAGTATGAGAACTTCACTATATGGGACTGAACTCGCATGGCACCAAACTATGGGCTAACTGTTTTGCCCAATTACACTATTAAACATGTTAAATTAAAGAGAAGAAGAAGAAGGGTTGACATACTTATACTTCACCCTGGTTTACTTGCTTAGTCTAAAAAGTTTAATCTTGTGATAAACTCTAAATGATGGCATGCGAAGTTATGATTATTGAAAAAATGAGTGAATATACTTCCGAGAAAATTTTAAAATGTTTGAATAAGTCAAGATGGAAAATGGTCAGCACATGGCTTAAACAGAATCCATATGGCATACCTCTGCACATCATAATACAAAGGCATATTTTAGATGAACATGACTAATGAGGTCGATACGGTTATACTAGTGTTAAAAGGCCAAATTATTTTTACTGTCACTATAACATGCAAGCATGTCGTTGTGTGTCTTGGTAGAATTTTATATACTATTATTTTTATCTATTAATTAATTATTTTATTATAAACACTGTCAAAATGTACACGATATATGCACAATAATACAATAGTCGAGTCTATTATTTCATAATATAATATCATCTGGTTACGAGGTTAACTAATATCGAAAATATATTTCAACAATAAATAGAAAAAAATAATTGAAAACGGTATAATTTAATTAAGGTTGCTTAAATTTGTATAGTGTGATAGGGTCAGAGATCGCATGATATACATTTTCGTGATAAAATCTGAATTGTATTGAATAAAAAATAAAGTAAATATAATTGAGTTGGAACATAATTGTCAGTAAAATGTACTTTATGGGAAGTTCACTGTAGGTTAGGCCCAAATAGGAACGTTTGCTAGTGGTATTGCATGTTGTTTCGCAAAAGGTATGGTTTAACAATAGGATATGTGTGCATTATATTTGAAGTTTATTATTGAGTATTATGATTGCAGGTCACGTTGAACTAAAACAAGTGAATTCAGTGATTTACAAAAAACATAGTCACTTACCAAAGAAAGGATTTTTAGCCGTGCAAACTTTTCAGTTCTCTCCAACTTGTATTTTCCTAAAACGAGTATTTTAGCTTGAATTAGAAGTTGTGAACGCCGTTCGTAAATCGGTATCACTAAATCCGTAATACTACAATTTTTTAATCAATTTGTTGTTCATTCAGTATATTTGGTATTAAATGTTTAATTCAAATTAGAAACCTATTAAAGTCAATACTACCATACCTAAAATTAGGATCCATATTTAATCAAGTAATAACAAAGCGTTATCAAAACTATCAAATCAATACGTTTTCCACAGGTGGCGAAATAAAAGATTAATGAATAACGTGTGCATGATAAACTGGCTTAAACCGTCGTTATGTTTCAAATTAAAGTATCATTTTAAACACAGAAACAATCTCTAAGAGAGTGGTTATAAAAATTACAAGATTTACGAGTTTTTATTTTGCAATCGATCGATGATTATTAAAGAGGATAACAAATAAGACCCGGAAAATATTGCATTGTGCTAGCTTTTGAAGCGTGTTAGACTTCAACGATGCTTTGTTAAAATAGAAATGAGGCTGACATAATTTGTTCCAAGGTTCTAACGTACCATTGGAAAGCTGGGAGTCTTGGCCAGTTATGAGATTATCAAAGTTTAGTGGGTACAAGCTGAAAACTGGTATATTGCAATCTGATTGTTAAAAATGACAATATTTTAGATATCAGTCTAGGAACTTTTTATTTGACATTTAATAGTTGTAATCGTCCGTAATTGTAAAATTGTAATCTAATAGTTTCCCTGATGTATCATAACAATATTTAAAGAAATATGTTTAGTCTGAGATTGACGTATTTAAAGCGATATGATGAGCTTGCTTGCTTTTGTGTACACCATATGATATGTTCCGCAATTGAAATGCAAAATCTTTGAAGCAATAATCATTAATCAACAATTTGTTAAAATTAATACTGAAATTAATTAAATATTCAAAACAACTTACATGTAACCTAGTGAAAACACCCATACACGAAAGATCGAACCACCTTCTTAGAATTATATTTAACAATGCCTTTATATGTTCATGCTCTTGAACGTAAGTACACAGAACTACATTTTTTAACGTGAGCATGTTAGTTTGCAAAATTATGTTTGAATAATACAGGTTACATTCTTAATCTAGTGTTTGTATACATTTCGTTTCTATACCATTCACGTGCTGTGTGTGAAGAAATTTGTACAACAATTTGGGTATGTTTTCTTTAATAAACGTTTTTATAGGTTTCTATGTTAAAACTACCGTACAAACAGACGTTTCCTCTTATAGAAACGTTTCAGAGTGCATGAAATCCATCTGACTTGTACAGATAAAGATTTGAATCGAGAGCGTGACATATTGGTAAGTCCGTTCAAATTCAGGTGAAAGTGGCGATTGACTTACAGTTAAAGAACTGGTCACATTCAGATAACAGAACCAACTTAAAGGAAAACTATGCCCAAAGTCATTTTAGCTCGTATACCTTCTGCACATACACTTTCTTATACACCTTCTGACTAGACTCACTTAAATTCATAATCTAGCTCTGTGATACTTAAAATTTCCACTAGAGGCAATCTGCGCGAGATTCCATTTTTTGGTTCGGTTTTTGGCGCATGCGCATTAAATCCAGCAATTTAATTGGTTAAAATTATTATCACGCATGCGCAATTAATAGCTGAAAAAGAACATTTAATTTGAGATAGATGTCACTTACGTTCATTATTTCACAGCAGTCCCTACCCATGATGCACCATATAGTGCGGGAATATTTTTGTTTAGTGTCAAAACAAAAAGTATACACCCAAAACAAATGTAATGACATAATATCAACCTGCCCCGGATTTGTAGACGTGTGTTGTACAAACTTAAACCGAACCGATGGCAGAAAAGCACTTTGAATCATGGGAATGAAGTACTTCCTTTAATGAAAAACCGAACCAAGTAAAAACCGAATCTCGCGCAGATTGCCCCGACTCAAAATTTCTACATAAAAAGTTTCATTTTAACCTACATTCAGTTCAAAATGGCCGCTTACTCACGCATTTCATAGAAAAATAGTGAAATCATAAAACCAACATTTTCTTTTCAAACCAGCTATCGAAAAAAATCTAAAAAAGTGAATATCGTTAATGCAATGCAACACCCACGGGTAGGTTTCTTTATATTATCGAAATCAACTGAAATCAGCTAGCAAAACTTGGATACATATAAAAGAAGTCGAACTTTAAGTGAGCAAGACTTGAACAGTTAGAAGTCAAATTCAGATAAGAGAAGAACTTTAAGTGAGCAAGACTTGAACAGTTAAAAGTCAAATTCAGATAATAGAAGAACTTTAAGTGAGCAAGACTACTTGAACAGTTAAAAGTCAAATTTAGATAAAAGAATAACTTTAAGTGAGCAAGACTTGAACAGTTAAAAGTGAAATTTAGATAAAAGAAGAACTTTAAGTGAGCAAGACTTAAACAGTTTAACGTCAAATTCAGATGAAAAAAGACTTGAACAGTTAAAAGTCAAATTTAGATAAAAGAAGAACTTAAAGTGAGCAAGACTTGAACAGTCAAAAGTCAAATTCCGACAAAAGAAGAACTTTAAGTGAGCAAGACTTGAACAGTTTAAAGTCAAATTTAGATAAAGAAGAATTTTAAGGGAGCAAGACTTGAACAGATAGAATTCAAATTTAGATAAAAGAAGAACTTTAAGTGAGCAAGACTTAAACAGTTAAAAGTCAAATTCAGATAAAAGAAGAACTTTGAGTGAGTATGACTTGAACAGATAAAAGTCAAATTCAGATAAACGAAGGACTTAAGTGAGTATGACTTGAACAGTTAAAATTCAAATTCAGATAAAAGAAGAACTTTAAGTGAGCAAGACCTGAACAGTTAAAAGTCAAATTCTGATAAAAGAAGAACTTTGAGTGAGCAAGACTTGGACAGTTGAAAGTCAAATTCAGATAAAAGAAGAACTTTAAGTGAGCATGATTTTAAGTGTTAAAACCCAAATTCAGATAAAAGAAGAACTATAAGTGAGCATGATTTTCAATGTTAAAAGCCAAATTCAGATAATAGAAGAACTTTGAGTGAGCATGACTTGAACAGTTAAAAGTCAAATTTAGATAAAAGAAGAACTTTAAGTGAGCAAGACTGGAACAGTTAAAAGTCAAAATTAGATAAAAGAAGAACTTTTTAAAGTGAGCAAGACTTAAACAGTTTAACGTCAAATTCAGATGAAAGAAGAAATTTAAGCGCGCAAGACTTGAACAGTTAAAAGTAAAATTTAGATAAAAGAAGAACTTTAAGTGAGCAAGACTTGAACAGATTAAGGTAAAATTTAGATAAAAGAAGAATTTTAAGTGAGCAAGACTTAAACAGTTTAACATGAAATTCAGATAAAAGAAGAACTTTAAGTGCGCAAGACTTGAACAGTTAAAAGTTAAATTTAGATAAAAGAAGAACTTTAAGTGATGAAGACTTGAACAGTTAAAAGTAAAATTTAGATAAAAGAAGAATTTTAAGTGAGCAAGACTTAAACAGTTAACGTCAAATTCAGATAAAAGAAGAACTTTAAGTGCGCAAGACTTGAACAGATAAAAGTCAAATTTAGATAAAAGAAAAACTTTAAGTGAGCATGACTTGAAGTGTTATTTAGCTAGATAAAAGAATAATTTTAACTGAACATCTGATCATTTTGGTAAAATGCCATCAAATTGCATGTGGTCTCATTCACATATTAACAGATGTCTCAGACAGCCGAACAGACTTGTTTAAATCTTGATTTAACTGCTTAAAAATAGATGTCAGACTGATGCAGGGCCTCTCTAGAAAACCACAGAGACATTCTCAGTAATAATAATGAAGTGGACAATGGTCTCACCCCCCCCCCCCTTACCATGAGACAAAAATAACAATTGGTGCCTTTTATCTTTTTAAAACGAAAATTCTTGTTACAATTTTAAACGATAGCTGTTTGAAATTATGAATCATTATTTTCAGTATTCTATTGGATACGATCACTGTAACCGAGAGAAGGAGAATTCCCAGATTTCCCAGATCACGGGTGTTAAAACACGAATATAGCATGAGCACATGCTTTGAGGATCCGCGTTGTTTGAACCTACCGCCGAGCACACTTATACATTAAGACCCGTTACACAGTCATGATACCGCCGAGCAAGCTCATTGCATCATCGGGTCTGCTTTACCCCCGTGCAGATGCTCTTGTTCAATTTGGTTTTCTTTTAACGATGATTAATCTATATTCGTAGTACGATTTGATTGGCTAGTTTAAACGTTTCGTACCTACGTAGGGTACGATGGGAAGATATCCCCCTCTTTTTGTTATTTGTTTAGTGCTAAATCGTATTTTATAATATCAGTACAGTACTGTTCTAGACTCTTTATAGTCAGACGGAAGAGTCTAGCTCACCATTTTGAATTAACGGACAACCTAAAAAATCTGATTGTTGTAAGCTTTAATCAGATCGTTTCTATTTGAAAGTAACAAGACTGCGATGACTGTTAGATATGGCGTAAGTATTTCACAATCACTTCAAACTTTAAATCATTTCACAGAAGTTGGTATTGGGTAAACCCAAGATACAATAGGAATGTTTTCGTGAAAACATATTCAAAATGGCGGAGGCTGTTGGACTATTCACTTACTTTAATTTCACGTGTAGATATTTCAGTTTTTGTTTATATGTATTTGTTCAAACCTATCAAATTGTATCATATCATAAGCATATCATTTTAGGCCATATTGTTCTGAGGCGAAGCAAAAAAACAAATACATTTTCTCGTTCATAGTTCAACGTATGTGCTTTTTGGGATAACCTCATTATATCCCAACGCATTGTACTTCAGATGCTATTTGAAATTATAATCGTATTTGCAGATTGAAAATTTTAATTTACCTTAATTTATCTCTATATAGCTATTTATTGAAAATCATTTATAATCGGGAAGACTAAATTAATTTAAGTTATACTTTCACAAAAAAAGAAGAGGGGAATACCAAATTTCGAAGTTGACCTCTTCCGCCCCACCCTCGTTTCAAACAAATTTCTAGTTCACCAATGCTATATGCTTTAAGCTCTTTAATACTCATAAACATATTCCTTACATCTGCCTTTTTCTTGTGAAATTACAAGTGATAATATTTAGGCAGAAACTGTAAAATAGGCTGTTTTAAAGGTCAACTCTCCCCTCGGTGGCAACGATTAAGGGATAACTATTTTTTGAGATTCATTTATGGTATGCAACACGCATATTAGCAAATACGTACCCAGACAAAAGACTGGTCACTTTTCCTGACGTGTCACACTTTTACATAAATTGTGCCATTTCACGTCTTTATTGATTTATGAAGAGTACTAGGTAGTAAGACATTTGCACTTTTGGAATTTTCTATTTTTTCCAAACGTAATTTACAGTACAAATCGAACATTTATATTAATTCATTCCATTGGTACTTATGGTTTCTAGAAAATACTATTGTATGTGTTTAGTACCAGGCTAAGTATTATTTTTTATTTATTTCTGGTTATAAATTAATTTTGGAACACTGTAGATATGACGTTAGTATGCAAATATACACAAAATGTTAGTTAAAACACTAATGAACCAAAAATGCCAATATGAATAAAAAGTCAACCTAGATATCCAATTAACAGAATAAAAGAGCCCAGAATATTTAGGTCAAGTCGGAAAACTTGGACAAGAATCCGAATACTTGGGTATCTAAAAGACTGGGTATCTAAGTATACTTTGGCTCTGAACGAAATTTCAGGTAGGATCTCTCATTTTTTCAAGTCACCAATACGGGGAAAATTTGAGAATACGCTTTTTAAATTTTGAATTTCTGATTTTGACTCGGTAACAATAAATTGTGACTGACTTGATAATGATGATACATTTAATTCCATCTTAATTGGGAAAAAATAAAGGATAGGGTAATTAGAATTTGAATTTCAGATGTTGATTCAGCCATTGATTATGATGAAATATCGTACATTTAATAACATCAATTTGGAGAAAATAAAAAGAAAGGCTATTAAGAATTTGAAATTCGGATATATATTACTCCAATTAGACCTACCGATCCTGACTAGATAATAATGAACTATACATTTATTTCCATTTTTTTAATGATCATACTAATGTTATCCCAATGTAAAACTGTCAATGTCATGTTCAAATAACCTTATTAGGTGGGAAATGGTTAGTACGTACACTCCCCTCCATAAGTTTGGCAACATTAGCTCCCCCATTGAACTACGTGTTAAAGCCCCCGTTTACCTTTGTATTTTTATTTACTTAACCTGCGATGAAAATACTTATGCTATTGATGGAAACGTAATTTTACTTTATATATTTTTGACAAAGTAGCAGCCATAAAATCCAAACAGATTTGTAAATATTTCACTTTGAGATCAAAAGGACACATTTGGGAGGGGGTCAAATTGAAAATATTTCGAGATATAAATACTATTTCTATGGTAACCATAAAAGTTAGAGATGGAAAATTTTTGGCTCTTACTAACCTTAACATGCCCTATCCAATATAAAACAATGAATATCTGACATGCATTAACATTCTTTTATTGGGTGGTATTAGAGTACCCCCATGGTTTGTGGGGGGTAGGGGTATAAATTGGTCTGAGGGCCGTCTGCCACCCATATAGAAAGTCCAACTACCCAGAAAGTGTCCAGTATAATCATACAGATGGTTTGAAATAGGTTTGAATGCTTACCTTCCATAGAAGGAAGGTGTGGGCCATAGGTTATATATTATAGAAATTAATTCATATTTCACTTATTCTAAGTAATGAAATAGCTACAGGATTGGGAATTTTTAAAAAGTTTAATGATATATTTATCCATGTTTTCGTATAATTAAAATGTAATTTATTACGTATTCTATATTTTACTGCATCAATTAAAAAAATTATCAACATTTTAATTTGTGAGTACTATTTTATCATTCATGAAACATGTGCAATAAATCAGTACTCAAAGTATGAGCGCTTATTAATTAATGAAAAGTCAATGAAATTAGCACTATTTCATCACTCATGATATGTATGTACTCATTTAGTACTAAAACATGCAATAAATTAGTGATCATAATATGAGTGCTAATTAAGTAATGAAAAATCAATAAAATTAGCGCTATTTTATTACTCATCATATGAGTACTCATTTAGTACTAAAACATGCAATAAATCAGTACTCATGTCATAAGTGCTCATTAAGTACTAATATTTGCTGAATTGAGCACTCAATTAGCGCTAAAATGCCTTGAGTACTATTTTAGTACTCGGCATATCTCCCTGTGTAGTGTATTTACCATAAATAATGTCTGGGTGTTCAAAGTCCACTCATATCGTTTGTGATATTGCGGGACTTAGATGTTTCCACCAAAACAAAGGTTTAGCTTTCGGCTGTCGGCTACCGGATTAATCTACTATTTTATGGACAACTCATTTAAACATGAATAGTACCTGCCACAATTCCATTCATATTTAAATGAGTTGGTCATAAAATAGTAGCTTAATCCGATATCATGCAGCTGAAAGTTACATTCGCGAATACAAGCTAAGTATTGCAAAAGTGATGTAAATGAATCTATCTGAAATGGTTAGCTACGATATACATTGAATAACTGATCTCTCATATGTTTTAGTGTTCCTGGACAGTCGAACCTTAAAGATGCGACGAAACTCTTCGAAAGGAACATGAGCAACGACAGCAACGCATGCAACTCACTAGATTCCCAAGAATCTGAGGATTCTCAGAATGATATCCCAGCTGTCTGCCCAGTAATTTGGTCTGTTCTCGACTTCAACATACGTGACAATCCACCCTGGTTACCAGAAGGACAAACAATACCAATTAAAAGGGTAATTGAAGATATCATCATGTATAAAAGCGAGTACGACATGTTTGAGTTATCCAAGAAGGACCCCGAACTGTTAAAACGTAAACTGAAAGATATCAGAGATGAATTTATTTACCGCATGGCAGTTGAAGAGAAAGTGGGTGTACAAGAGCTGGGTGCTAGTAGCGAAGTGCTTCAGGATCATCTTAACTCGGTGGATAATCCCAAAAAATTTCGTCGTCAATTTTCTCAGGAACAACAAGAAACTATGAATATGTATTCAGCGTTGCGACATTTTACAAATAATTTTAGAGAGATGAAGAAAACGGGTTTGATAGATGAACAATACGTGCTGGATGGACATAAAAAGCTAATGGCTAATACAATGAAGATAGGTGGAAAGTTCTCGGAAAATCCGCGAGAAACAGAATATAAAGGAGAGGTACATGAATACCCGAAATCGGACGTTATCCCCAAATGTCATCAGGCGATTGTTGATAACTCCAATCAAATGATGGAATACATAAGGTGTGCATTTGACAACAATACAGAGGAGAAAATATTGTATACTGTTAAACTTGCAGCATGGCTGTTGTATAACTATGTAAGTCTTCACCCATTTGGTGACGGCAATGGTCGCACGTGTCGTCTTTTGTGCAGCTACATCATAAGCACCATAGCGCCATTTCCAACACCAATATAATATCCATTCTTCCAGTAAGAAAGAGGACTACCTCGATGCTATTGTTGAAACGAGGAAATCAAGCACCAAAAACCCCGAACTTTTGGCCACAATGCTGCTAGAATGTCTTTGGAAGACATGGGGACATTTGTATGTTGAATTGACTAAATCAACTGGAAAAGAAAATTTCTATGAATAAATAATAAACTCGAACAGTCCCTACTGTTCATCCTCCCTACGTAATTGGATTAAAATTAAGCTCTAAAATTCCAGAGTCAAACAGAACACCAAATGAATATATTGGTAATATGGGACATTTTGAAAATAGATTTCACTTAACACCAGTTGATGAAACAGAATTGTCATTATTGATGCAAACTTTGAAAGATAAGGCAGCATCTCTTGATAATATTAAACCGATTATTGTAAAACATGCAAAAATGAACTTATACAGCCTTTACTTTTGATATTCAATAAATCCTTTCAACAGGGAATTTTCCCGGATAAACTCAAAATAGCTAAGGTAACACAAATTTTCAAAAAAGGTCAAAAAGATAATTTCTCAAACTATAGACCAATTTCAGCCTTGCCAGTTTTTTCTAAACTTCTAGAAAAACTTATTAACTTTAGGCTTTGTAATTTTATCACAGAAAATGAAATATTATATATACTGTACATCAGTATGGCTTTCAAAAAAATGTCTCTACCTTTATGGCAATCTTAACTTTTGTTGAAAACATACGACATGCGCTGGAAAACAATGAATATTCGCTTGGTATTTTTAGACTTGTCTAAAGCCTTTGACACCATAAATCATAAAATCCTTTTAGATAAATAATTTTTTATGGAATTCAAGGGTCTGAACTATCTCGTTTTAAATCATATCTAAAATATCGAAAGCAAATTGTATCATATAACAATATTGACTCTGATTTACAAAGTATATCATGCGGTGTGCCCCAGGGCTCAGTCATTGGGCCAACATTATTCATATTATATGTAAATGACATGTTTAAGGTTTCCAATATTCTTAAAAGCGTAATATTTGCCGACGACACTAATTTGTTGGCCTCAGATAAAGATTTGAAATCTCTAATAGAAAAGATTAATAATGAACTTGATCTTTGAAAGAGTAAAATCTATCAACTTTTAAGGTGTCATTGTTGATGAACATATTACCTGGAAAGAACATATTAAACATATAGAAGCAAAAATATCCAGAACAATTGGTCTCTTATATAAGATTCGCCACCTATTGAATAAAACAAGTCTTTTTGCAACATTTAATTCCCTGATATACTCACATATAAATTACTGTAATTTAATTTGGGGTGGCCATGGCAATACTCATACAAATGAGCTGCATTCCCTACTTCTATTTCAAAAGAGATTCCTTCGCATATTAGACAACCAGCCAAGAATGGCACATTCAGCACCTCTCTTTAAGAAGTACAACATTTTACCTGTAAACCAGGTGTATGAATTTAATGTTTCAAATTTTGTCTATTGTTTTATTGACCAGGAACCTGTTTATTCAAAACTATATAATAATTATTTTAATCAATATGAGTATTTTCACAATTATCCTACCAGAAGAAGTCATGATTTACATGCTAGGGCTTACAAAACAAAAATAGGGTTATATTCAATCAAAGTACAGGGTCCAAGAGTCTGGAATTCTATCTCAGATCATGTCAGATTTTTGCCCTCTTTACTTCAATTTAAAATGACTAGAAAGAAAAACTTAATTGCTGAAATATAATTATATATTGTCACCTCATCTACCTTTCCATCCATACATTTTCCTAGACCGAAATAGAGTTAACACACATTGGCAGCCACAACCCACCACCACTAGCCATAAGTTAGATGCATACATATGCTATCAATATGTATAGTTATTATTGAATTTTCATTGTTGTCACTAAAACAACTTCATACACTTGTTAAAGTGTCAGTTGATGTATAATTTATGTGTCATAGTTTGACAATAAAGTATGTAACTAACTTACTAAAAACTAGGTGTCCAGACATATAATCTACGTCCCTTCCTTCTGGAGGCCTGTGTTCGGAGGATGGGTATTGTGATGTAATGATGAAAAATGCAAGATAGAACTTCCCAATTAACCAGGTCCTCTTTTACTACATTGGAAAAAAATATATTGACTAGATTAATGAAGTTATCATAGGTTGTAGGTACTGATTTTCCCAAATAGGGCTAACGTATCGGTAATCTTGGAAAATCAGGTATTTGTTGGTTACCTTTGCTACCTGCAAGCTATGGGTTCATGAATCTTGCTTATGTATCTTTAAGCTTCTTCTGTGGACCCACTGTGGAGTAAAAGATGGCAACTACTGAAAGGGCGGGGCCTTGACGCAAGACTCTGAAATCGTTCTGTCCAAAGAGGATTGGCATCGCAACTCGATATTTTCCAACAATGAAATTATAACCAACTATAAATTCGGAATAAACAGTCCAAAAGATATGAACTAATACTAATACGATCTTTTCTTGTGAGTTTTGGACTTTTTCGTTTGGAAATAAGACGAAAATTCACGATTCAAATGTTGAAGTGAACAAAATGGCGGCTGTTTGAAATTCAAACAGCCGCCATTTTGAATCAGTCGAGTTCTCGTAATCACGAAATGCCCATATATGGCATAAATATCGATGAATTCTGGGAGCTCCGTGCTACTGTCGATACATCAGAAGGTGCCAGTTTGACGACTTATTTATTACAGTTAGTGATTGGTGTGACTGTTAGAAATTACCCAACAGTCAGGATTGTGTAGGGCTCTGTATATTGAAAAATACATATCTAGAGTACCATCATGAAAAATCTTATGGTCTTATATGTTTCTACTTGACGGCAGGAAGATGTGATGAGTATCAGAATGCAAGGGTACAACCCCCTGTGGCATTGCGGCATGCATTCTAAAAACCAATATGACAATAATGATAAACACCGAGTAGTCTTGCTAGAGGCTCAGTAAACAATTTGTAATTTTTAATATAGCAATATAGATTTGATGCCGTCTGTAATTATGTGATAGTGGTCATTTTACCTTGAGGACATCATGACTGGAAATATTGTTTAGTTTATTTCAATATTTATTATAGTCTCACGCTATAAAATATATCACATATACAGAATACAATTCAAGATATACAGGTGGTAGAATGGAAATATCATCCCTGATATATCAACCTCTAAAGAGATGGAGTCGGTATAAAACTATTTTGGCATGTAGTTCTGGTGTTATATTGTTTTTAATAATGAATATAATTTGGACATTTAACCACGCGATGGAATCGAGGATTACAAGACCGCTGCCATACGCAAGGCAGTATTCTATAATGATAGACAGACAACATGAGATCTCCACAAATAAAGGAGCTGGTTGGATGAAATATAATTTCAAAAAGTTGGAAACTAATTTTGTGAAAATACCAGAAAGGGACTTAATAGTCTGGTCGGCGTTTTATGATAATCGCACGGTAGGTGACGTCTCATTCAAGTTTGACGACAAATCGAGAAGTGGTCTTGTACTACCATGGAACGTCAAACATAGACCAGCGGTTGTATTACTTGGTCTTTCTGAAAGAAAAATGAGCACGACATACTGTCATATGTATTTTTCAAATACTTCATTCAGAGAGGCAAGACAAAAGAGAAAGAGAATAGCCAAAGTTGTGACAAAAATGAGAATGTTGAAATTCAGACCAATGCATATTTGGAGAAATAACTTATTCGTGTGCGATGTGAACCGCCATTTTGTAGAAACAAACAATTTAGGTCTTCCAATTTTGGTTGGGTTGTCACCATCAAACACTACCCAACCAGAGAGGCTCATTAACGTTCAACCATTTTCAGGAGCTAAACCTAAGAACTCCATCGGAATATGTGTGAGTACAATTTACGGCAGCCTCTCTCCGGTTAATTTCGCACAGTTTATAGAATATTACAGAGGTATGGGAGTTAACAATTTTTATTTATACGAGGCGCTCAATATAACTAAAGACTTATCCAAATTGCTAACGTGGTACGAAAAGAAGGGTATTTTAGAGTATATACCATGGAGGTTGCCCTTAGGTGACAAAAGTTATCCAAAAAGGGCTTCTCAGGATTTTTTTGATAACCTTGTTCAGAAAGCCGGGAGTACAGATTGTATATATAGGAACTATGGCCGTCATAAATGGATGTTGCACGTCGATGTCGACGAGTTTATCGTCCCAAAGCTTGATATGACAATAGATCAGATCATAACCCGAGTATCAAACCAAAAAAACTATCCTCAAAAAGTGTCAAGTCTAAGATTTCACCATGTTCAATTCTGCATCGATCAAGCACCAAACAATAGAACGGACAATGATAAAGATGCAGAATTCGACTTACTGTTCGATAAGTATCAAATGAGTTCTAAACCGTGGCCGATGCAGTTTTGGGGAGCTCGTACAAAGTTTTTGAGCAACCCTTCCGGAGTTGAGTATGTGGGATCCCATCAAGTTACTCTCAAATTGAAAGACTTCAAGGAGGTTAACGTCGACCCAAGCATAGCTACTATGCATCATTATAGAAAGTCTTTACTCGATAAGAAATTCCCTTGTGACCAGACAAATACGTATGCGTTGAAATACGTCAAGGAGCTTCGGCGTCGTGTTAAATTTGTGATAGAAAAGTCGAAAAGGTATTAATCAAAATGTTACAGCAAATGTATTTTTAACATGATTAATTTATATTTATGCTGTAATATAAAAGTATTACTGTGATTGAATAAAGTTCGAAAAGGAGCAGTTTGTTACTTTCTGATCGGGCCTCATGCATAAAAAGGGGAAATCGTGGCAAAGGGGACACTCTTTACACTATAAATAAGATCTTTGCTCACGGTATTGTTCATCGAATGGTACATAATATTTCACCATAACATATGATATGTAAGAGAAACGAGAGAAACAATACTTACGGTCATAGTGGAATCTTCATTAGCCGCCATTTTATTTCGCTCCGGAGCGTTTCCGCGTAAATGTAACGCTCCGTCGTGCATGTCGGAGCGTTTGGGTTATACACCGTGCTCAGTCAATTAAACAAAAGCATATTGAGTATCGGTGTTAGAAACATCATTCCCAACTAAATAACTAAATGCAAAGGTCTTGCTTATAAGACCCTGGACTCCCCCCCCCCCCCTCCCCGATCAACTTCACTCACCAGTGTGTTAGACAAGATGAACTACGTAGCACATAGTAACATAGGGGAGGGGTCATAGACTTGAAGCAAGACTCAATTTCCTTTAATTTCATGTGCGGATATTCTTCTCTCAAAGATGTCAGGGTAGTTTTATTGCTATTAGACTATTACAGTCTATTAGTACATGTAGAGTTTTTAAACATTAAATCTACATGAGTTGTGATACATATCTATATGCAATAAAATGAGAAAATTAGCAACAATTGTTTACTCTGTATTGTATTCATTCATGATTTCCTATCTCCAATCGACAAACAACACGTTCAATACGACAGGTCATTTCAATTTATGATCCTACTCTCCATTGATTTATATGGTGACCTCTTTCCCTTATTATCTTATACACAATCAATTTTTACACATGTTCCCGGACTTATGCGCTAAATACAGTTTTTTTCAAAAATGTGACAATACTTGGATTGGGCATCATCCTGTCATCGTTTTCATTGAGTGGTTCTCCGGTTTTCACATTCATTATTATAGCAATGTATATTCAAAGTTTTAAATCTGGAGATCATGAAGGAATATAAGTCATACCTGCCAACCTACCGTATTTTTACGGGAATCTACTGTAAATTTTTCGTTTTTCCGTAAAAAATGACAAACTACCGTAAAAAAATACCATCTTTTTCCCGTAAAAACGCCCGTAAAAAAATCTACCGTATTTTTTCGAAATCTACCGTAAATTTTTTTTTTTAACTCGTTTATTCCATGAGAACGGCCGTAAAATCTACCGTAAACTTTTGAAAATCTACCGTAAATTTTACCGTATTTCTGCTAAAATCAACAGTATTTTTGTTCAAATTACCGTAAAATTTCCCGTTATTGTTGGGAAATGCTGAAAAATGGAAGTCTTCCTGTACTGTCCCTGTAATATTTCTTCACCAACCCGAATATAAATAGGTATCGGCAGGTCTGTGGTTATCAGGTTATTGCGCATTTATCTAAGTAAGCTTGCGTGTAAGCTTGCGTCCAAATACCAACTACCACTAGCTAGAAAGAATTCGTTCTGCCATGATTTTTGTAGTTAACCAAACCCTTTTGTACACAGATATGAGCGTAGCGCCTATTACGCAAAATACGCACAGGCGTACCAAATGAATTTGAAAAAAATAAAAATTTGTTAAAATGCATTAATTTATTTGCGAATTTATTGATGCTTCCTACCGTGTCTGTATTTTTACGGTTGTCAACATTTAAAGTTGATAAAAACGATTCCATCAAATAACGTACTTGAAAAAATATTTCCCGGGGAAGCAAATCGGCCACGCAATCAGGCATCCCCGTGTGTGCGTACCGACTCAAAATATTGTTTTAGCGTATGAAATATGCGTAGTTTGATTTGTTAAATCAATTTGTTTACAGTACGATAAAATGTTGTATTTTTCATCAGAACACATTATATCAGTAACAAATACATAATTAAAAAATAAAGCATTGTGTTTGGGTTTATTATAAAAGTATTGTGATATCAGAATCTGAACGATGTCTCAGGGGAAAGGTTTCAGCAAATGCTCATAACAGATTATTTTTGAAAGACAATTGATCTGTACTTATTTTCTATTTGTGCCAGACAAACACATTGATATCATTAGAGACTTGCGAGTGAACAAATCAATATTTAATACCATATGATTCCAATGTTATATGAACATTATGTCTGTCATTTCAATTCGTTAACGTGATAGATCATCTAAGATGATGAGTAAAAACGTGTAAAATCCATATTTTGTATTTCAGTAAATGTTTCATTGGTATTTCCAAACATCCTGATATCTAAAAAAACTGGTTAGAAGGTGAATAAAAGTGGAGATATGAATATTGTGTTCGTATTTTGAATCAATCTAGATTTATTGTAAAAGAGTTGTAAAAGAGTTGTATTCATATACATGTACATTTTGCTAAAACATTAAAATTCAAAGTTGCTGTCAGTCCATTGTAGGCATGGTAAATGAGGAATAAAAAGTGTTTAGTCTCTATTTATTCTTGAAAATAGTATATCTATTTTTTCTTGAAAATAATTGTTTCGTATAATTCTCAGGTGGTAGTTCTGCTTTACAAACTGTAATTATCAAAAGCACTCTTGCAGTAAAATATGTATTCACAATAACAAAAACAATATGACCACGTAAACATTGTATTAATATAGAAAACCGCATTGTATAAAGGTTCAACTACCGCATTTTTCAAAATCTACCGAAAAATACCGCATATTGGCAAATCTTTGGCAAGAGTACCAGTTTTTCAAAAAATTACCGTAAAAACTACTGCAAGTTTCAAAATCTACCGTAAAACTACCGCATTTTTTCAAAATCTTCCGCAAAAGTACAGTTTTTTTCCAAAAATCACAGTAAAAACTACCGCAATTTTCGAAATCTACCGTAAAACTACCGCATTTTTTCGAAATCTTCCGCAAAACTACCGGTTTTTTAAAAAAACTACCGCATTTTTTCAAAATCTACCGTAAAACTACCCCATTTTTTCAGAATCTTTCGCAAAACTACAGGTTTTTCAAAAAAATTACCGTAAAAATTACCGCATTTTTTTAAATCTACCGTAAAACTACCGCATTTATTCTAAATCTTCCGCAAAACTACCGCTTTTTCAAATTCCTACCGCAAACCTCTGAAACTACACTATTTTTTTAAATCTACCGCAAAAATGACCGTTTTTTCTAAAATCTACCGCAATTTTGTTGAAAAATACCGCAAAAACTACCGTATTTTGAAAAAATCTACCGCAAAAATACAGCAATTTAAAAAAAATCTACCGCAAAATTTTGGTCTTAGGTTGGCAGGTATGTAAGTTGTAAAATACAAAAAGCCGACCCAAATGATTCCCTTTCAATCTTGATCATTTATTTTCTTAAAAGGAATCAAATGTCACAGCGAATATGTATCATTGAAGAATAAGATGCAGAAAGTCTTAGAAATGTCTTAATTTCTGATAATTAAAAAAATGGGACAACTTTTTTCAAAACTATTGTCAGGCAAACTTAAAAAGTAAGAGAGCTAGAATGATAAGGAAAAGAATTCTGTACAATCAAGATAATTTTATCGAAAACTTTCACTGAATCCATCCTACTCCTTCTAAGTAATTGAAAAGTAAAATAAAAGACACAACTTATTGCTTTTTCTGAAAATTACCAATTTATTCTCAGATAAATAATACATTATCCATCATATTTGCAAACACTTTCTTGCAAGTTTATAAACACTTCCCTGCAACTTTATAAACACTTTTTACTAATTGGAATCACATTCATTTTGTTAACAAACATTTACTTGCACTTTAAAAACACTTTTTCTAATTGCAAACACTTCTCCGCAAGGCTATAAACACTTTCTGGGAAGTTCACGAACACTTTTCCCAGGTACATTTCTGTAAAAACTTTTATGAATTCATAGGTCTTTTGTTCCCTTATTATGACATCACAGTATTCATGTTTACAACAACTGACTTATGAATTTTTTAGTTTAAAAATGCAAACAGAAATGACCCGCTGCTACTTTGCAGCCAAATCCTCACTAAGATCTGGTGGTTTTTAATACAATGTATGTCATTTCACTCATAACAGTCAATAAAACCTCAGTCATTTTCTCTTGATAAATTAAAAGCTGTTTCACATTTGACAAAAGTTTTAACTCATTTCAATTTCATTTAATTGAAATATTTTGTTTTAAATTATGTTCCCTACCATAATTTGTAAGTATTCACATTAAATGTGAAAAATTAAACATTTCATTATCAGAATAATACCAATGACCTGTTACAACCTATGTATAATCTATAATTTAGCTTTGTAAATGTATCAAGAGAAAACAACTGAAAATTATTGAAATATTCATTTAAATAATTATAGAGGAATAGCATTATGTATTTAACAAAGCATATTTATAGTACAATATAATATGTCATTTAAGTTGAATTTATATTTACAGAGATCAATCAATCCTGTCATCCCTTTCACAGATCTGTTACAGTCAAATGGACTGTTCCATAATAATTTTACATGGCAAAATGGAAGAGTTCAATAAAAATAGGGGTGTTCTGAAAAATATGAACTATTTTCACCCTCATGAAGTACAATGGTTTGCTAAGATTTATCTTTTAAATCTATAAAATCACGCCAGTTGATAGGTAGCATTTAATTCCTGTTAGACAGTGGAGAAAATTGAATCAATTCAACTTAAGTGATTAAGATAAGTAACACTATTTAAATAATAAAAACACTGGCAACTATTTATGTTTTATAGCTGAAATAAATTTAAAAAATAAAAATAAAACCTGAATACATGTAATCATAACACCAATAGTTCTTTCTGTGTACAGTGTATATATTATTGTATTAATTAAGATTCAACGATATCTCTATTCTAAACAGGAATTAAACGCAACCCCTATACACATACGAACATTGGGCCCCTACAAGGCAGTCAATGAATCCTTCATTTTATCCAAATTGTATTACATCATGTTGAAATACTGAACTATAACAATATTATAAAATGCCCCGCCACCTAATTCAAACTTATTTTTGTTTTATTTTCCATTTTCTTAAGAAATTCAATGGACTTGAGTGGTTTGTCTTTTGAGCATTTGCCAATATTGAATATATGAATATTTGAATATTTTTGGTAACATGCACAAGTTTAGTGATTGTAGAAATGTATTCCCTGTGTTCACATCATAACTTAAGTTGAGAAAACCACAGAAGAATAAATTACCTCAATAAATTACCCATTAAAAGCGCTTTAATTACTGAGAATAAACAAGATATAGTTTGTAGATTAAAATCCTAAAAGAAAGGTATTGGTCAATAAACTTGACTTGAAGGTAATTTCAACACACTAGCAACTAAGACTTTGTGATTTCATAGGGGCTAACCCAGTTAATAGTGCCATCTATTGGTCATGATATCAGTTTTCTACTGTTTCAGGGTGGAATATTAAGATAAATATTTGCAAATTTTGTGAACAAGGAGTGCTGCCTGCAAGAATGAACATCTAGTTTTGCTTCAAGACTGGAGTTCTTCACCAACGCAACACTTGTAGTTAGATGGGGGGGGGGGGGGGGGGGGGGGGGGGCTAGGGCTTGTAGCTGGACTAATGAACATGATAAATCTATCCAATGTCTGCACCAAAAGAGGTCAGGATTTATTGGAAGCCTTTAAAGACTGTACATAAAGAGTTCAAGATAGACTACCACATATGAGCATACTTTAACCTAGTCGCTTCTTTCATCAAAAATATTTGAAATTCCAGCAACAAAATTGAACAACAAACCAGGGAGATATGTGTTAAAAGTAGGGTTCTTTTTCTTATAGAAGGCAGTATTTGCTTCTGATATCTCAACAAAAAATAATATAACTTATACATCCCAACCTTAAAACCTCATTTTCTCATACTGAAGGATATTTTGGCACATATTAAAAGATGGGGTGAGGTTGAATTGCCATATGACGATACAGATAAGCATCTATAATCTATGCAGGTATGATGCATACAGTAAAACCTGTGTATATTGTACTTTAACATGGGAGTCATGGGAGAAAAAGGTCTTACTGAATAAAAAAAGGTTTACTAGAGAGATGTGTTCACTAACTCATGTTCTACTCTACATACATTTGGCAGCATATAAGGTAATCCGGGATTTCTATACAACCTTCTTAATGTCTTACTTTATCCCTCAGATTCTATCGCAATTCCAATATACTTGTAATTCCACATTCAGGCAGATAATTTCTCATCGCATGAATATTCAAGGGGGGGGGGGGGGGGTTAGGGGGGATTAGGGGTGGTCAGATATTCCCCATTTATGTATGTGTAACTTGTCAAAACACACCTTTTCAAGATTTTAGTGAGAGCCTAGTCCATGCCATCTTGTACATACAGAACATCCAGACCTCTCTAATATTTCTCGCATAATTCAGAAAATAGGCAACATATTTAATTTGAACAACCGTGATCAAATTTAATTACCTCCCATATTCAAGCCTGACAATTGAGTTTTAACTTTGTAATTATGAAAACATACTCTGGCTTATCTATAACATGTCAGAAAATGGTGTGGCATGATGGTATTATGTATATATTTGAGATAAAAGTACCATATTGAATAAAAGCACTTCATATTTCAAGCTTGTTTCAAATAGAGATAAGACTTGACAATTTCATTCAGCAAAATAGGATGAGATCTATCAGCAGTTTTATAAATGAAAAATTCATTTGGCTTCTTCAAATTGTATTTATATAAATTAAGAGAATCTAAATTTTCAGTACATGCTAAAAGCAAAGTTATGTAATTGCGTGCATTAGAATTGAAGAATTTTTAACTCGTAGACTGCATTGTACAATTTATCAATTGAAAAAATGAATACTTCATCGTTGAGTTCACATTTTGGAAGGAAATCTTGCGTTTAAATATTACACGGATGATGTGAGAACTCACATCAAAATAACAGAGATTTTTTTACAAGTACATGAAGAACAAAAAACTTTAACTTGAGGTACTCTGGGCCTTGAGGCTCCTCAATAAAAAATAAAGGAAGAATATATTAACATTATTATCAAATCAAATTCATTTTTGTAAATCATTTCATTTTTCATGGAATATCAATTCATCTTGAAATTTCATTTTCATTTTGTGTATGTTTTATATTTAATCAATTATTGAGCCTTTGAGGCCACTGTACCCAAATACAACTGGCTATTTCTATTCTCTGATGAAGTTGAAGTTTAAGAACCCCGTAAATATTAACATCCATGACCACCTTAGACTTATTTGGCAATTATATGGCAATTTCATTTAAAATCAGTTAGACAGGAGACAATTCATTGGTTTCATTTAAATCAGAGTTTAAACAGCTGTACTACAGTCATTCATTTATGTAGCTCATTATCACAATCTGTCATATAGCTATATACTAGCCATCTTATAGCTACATAACAGCTGGGTCTACTATATAGTTGTATAACCAGTATTCACCACTTCATATAGCTATACCAGCTATCTTATAGCTATATAACAGCTTGGTATACTATATAGCTGTATAACCAGTATTCACCACTTCATATAGCTTAATAACATGGCTCCATATAGCTATATACATGTAAAAGTACCAATCCAGCTTTTAGCTATATATAAATACTCCTCTATATAGCTATACAAGAACATTCTCAATATAGCTATATACCAGTTCTCCATATAACTTTCAAGCAGTCCTCCAACCTAATAAAGGCTTCTATATATATTTATCCATCATATTATTTATCCATCATATAGTTGCTTAATACTACTCCTCAATATTTTCACGACAGAAAAGAGATCCATATAGCTATAAAACAGATTTGGATATAGCTAAATAATATTTCTTCATATACTTATTGGTTATTTAACACTCCTCAATATAGCTATGTAATAGTCCACCTGATATAGCTATATAGCAGTCCACTGTATAGCAATTTTAGAGTCGACCATATAGCCAGTCCACAATATAGCTATATCACTATATATAGTAGTCCCCCATATAGTTATATAAGAGTCCACTATATATAGCTATATAACAGTGTACCATAGCAATACAACAGTCCTCAATATAGCTATATAATCAACCATTACTGCTATATAACAGGCCATTATAAAGCTATATATCATTCCTCAATATAGCTATATAATCAACCATATACTTCTATAACAGGCCATTATATAGCTATATATCATTCCTCAATATAGCTATATAATCAACCATATACTTCTATATAACAGGCCATTATATAGCTATATATCATTCCTCAATATAGCTATATAATCAACCATATACTGCTATACAACAGGCCATTATATAGCTATAAAAGCTCTTTTCCTGATGTACAATCCAGCGAGCCAGCGGCATAGATACTCTAAGCATTGTAAGGTTCCGAAGATATAAATAAATCAATCTGGTTCTCTTTATATAATACTGCATCTGAATGTGGGGAATCCGAGGGTTATTTTAGCACCCATTATATTTCATTTCCTACTATTGGTGCAATTTATCCTTCACCTTTACATTTATATCCTTATTTGGACATGTGTGGCATTATGTATGGACAGTTCCATATATAGTATTGAATTGCCATATCACTGCACAGGTCATATCTTTAATCCTCTTTTTTATAAAATTCTATCCATTCTTATATACATATACCATATTTGGTGAATATTGTCTCATTGCCCATATTTGGGCATCAGGCGATAAAACCGTTGGAGCATCATTCGGGAAGTCCGTTGTCATAGCAAAGGTCATGTGGAGTTTAGATGAGCTAGGGCGTGGCGCATGTAGTGTAACAAATGCTGTATAGAACTATGTAACGTCAATGTACCTTTTTCATCATCGCACTCATCTATGAATTCTGAAACACATGATAAAAAGTAACATACAGAATTACTTTAATCTATATACAAATGACACACTGATATGCATCACCCTTTTGTATGTTAATAAAATAATTATCAATTATTTCCATTAAATTGCATTAGGCCATTCAAAGTTAAATATATTTTTAACAAACCACTCCTTATCAGTTTGAGACAAATCTTCCGAAAATGGACATAATTTTGAAATGCCCAAACATGTGCTTGTCAAAAATCCAAATGATATAATGATCTAAGATCAGAGTCTATTATAGTGTCAACAGGATGTTAAAAATATCTTTATGAATTCTCTTTTCATGGCCTAATTGTCACTTCTTCCCTTCATAAGTTGAAAAATGAACACAAGAGGAAGAAATACTCCACAACTCATAGATGATGGTGATAGGTTCACCTATGAATTCTGGGAAATTCCCTTCTTGATGAACACTGAATATGCCTACCTCTATGGTGATGAAGTAAAAGATCTGCCTGGTCCCAGAGTTCATGGCAGGTATATAAGTGGTACATGATGGCTGCCAAACGCTCAGTCACCGAGTGGAGCCTCTGAGACACAATTATTGTCCCCTGAGGTGCCTGGCAACTCTTAGCTCCATTAGATGTAATACTAGTACTGCTCTCAACTCCACTACTCTGTAGTCAAACAAACAGTACATTTATGAAAATATAGGGTGTCCGTAAAGTATGTTAACAATAACAATTGTGTGTAAAGTGGAATGAGACTTCATGGACACCCTGTATAAATCAAGCAAGTATTCAATCAATAGATTTATGAATATATAAATCAAACAAGTATTCAATCAATAGATTTATGAATATATAAACTAAGCAAGTATTCAATCAATAGATTTATGAATATATAAATCAAACAAGTATTCAATCAACAGATTTATGAATATATAAATCAAGCAAGTATTCAATCAATAGATTTATGAATATATAAACCAAGCAAGCATTTAATAAATCAACCAATCATATCAAATCATGAATCACTATCAATCAATCATTCATCACTATCAATCAATCATGAATCACTATCAATCAATCATGAATCACTATCAATCAATGTTTCAGGTAATAACTCTTATCATGCCTAACTGAAACTAGAGCTTAACCTGATTTTCAATAAATGCATGATTTGATATACATCTAATTGTATGAAATAAATATTGATCAATAGTTTATCAAACAACCATTTCGTCAATAATTAATCAATCAATTTAGAATTGAGAAATTGGTCAATTAAGTGAGCTATTAATATCTATTTACTTGAAATGTTGATGAAAATGTAGATAGATTACAGTAAAATGTAAAATGGCCCGTCATTGGTACCTAAAACAGTGTTCCACTTGGGAGATGTTCTAGTCAGAGAGCCTCATTTTACATTAAGACAACGGGTAACTGGACTTTAAAAAGTGTTTTCCTTTTGGAGGTGTTCCACTTTACATGTTTTACAGTATAGATGAGGTATAAAGGGTTTTAATTTATTTGCAGTTAATGGTATAACAAGTACACACTAGAAATGCCTCACTAGGCTTTTAAACTCCGGAGATTCTCGGGAGTCTTATGTCTTTAGACCCTCTTGTTCCAGAGTCTAATAGATTTTCTGGAGTCAAATTTTACATTTTTGCCACATTATGTATGTTAAAACTCTTGAGAAAATACATAAAACTGGATACAAACAAGTACAAGGAATAGGAGGTCAGAAACATTTAAGAAATGCATATTGTGATTAAAATAGAAAGAAAAAATTGATACTACAAAAAATCAGGGGTCTACAAATTTCCTGGTGAGAACCCTGAACCATTTTCTTATTTTAATACTTCTTAATATACATGTATTTAATGTGTTACCTGAGATCCTACAGAGCCTACTGATCCAACACTTCCTGCAGGACTGGGGGTGGGGGACATGGGGGAGGGAGTGTCTGTGCTCCGAGCATTCCAGGGGGAGGGAGCTTGAGATGTAGGGGGCACAGGATGCTTGGAAGGTGCCTGCTGAAAAATAACATACATCATATGATCAATTCCGATTACCTAAAGTTTCAACTGATCACGTCAGGTGTTATTATAACAGAGCAATTCACATGTATAAACTACTGTGATTTAGAGTTATTAGAGAGAAATACATTGAATTAATCCATGGAGTACAAATTCTGAATTCAGATTTTCTAACTAGTTTTAATCCACTATCTAAATATTTCATTTACTATCAATGGAAAATTTTATTTCGAACAAGTGAAATTCCCGAACAGGACACATTGTGGAATTTTAATAAATTGAAGATATACAAAATAAACAGGTCCAATAGTAGTTTCGAAATGTGGCATACCTTTAGTAAGTCATCCCGAGCCTGCTTCAATTTTGTAGCATCTCTCTGCTTTAACTTATATAGTTTCAACGATAATAGGGACAATGTACGCAATCTGAAATTGAAATTCTAATATGTATCCTTGCTGTAGACGCAACAATTTATGAGGATACATGACAAATAATAATAATTCTTTAAAATCCATTGTGCAGATTTGTTTCGGGGAGTAAATCATGTTCCTAAGTTCCTGGTTTTATTTGTTTCCCCCTATAGCACTACTAGTGTTTCCCGATCACTCTATTATTAAAATTGAAATACATATTTGTTTGAGTTCACCAATTTAGAATATAGATATCTATCATACTGTGTATTTTGTGCTTTCCTAATTAATCAAGTTGATTTGAATGTTACTGTACAATTGGCATAGAAGTTCTAATAATAAAGTGACCTACCCTAATGCTGTAAGTTTTTTATCTTTTGGGGTATGTTCAAGACTCTGACTTGACCTCAGCCTCGCATCAACATTGTGCCTGGAACAAATTAACAACATGCATTATTTCATGAAGGTCATTTTCATTTAAATGCTAAGAGTGTGTTTTCATTGTTACATTATTTTTTTCTCCAGTGTCTATTCAATTTTCACATTTCATAACAACACAGAATATTATGTCAATAGCCCTTTGGCATTACAGACATATTCATAATACCTAAAAGGAAGACAATCCATTATCAACTGTCTCCTAACTGGACTCCAATACGTTAATAACCAACAGTCTCCTCTTTCTTTGTATCAGGTGAAGGAATGAAGAATCGGATGCATGTATTATTATTACAAGACATCACATCCTTTAACCCTTTCAAGACGATAGGCTCCATATGGAGCTTTATCATGTAATACCTTTCAGGACGATGGGCTCCTTTTGGCACCACTATTTTTATTTACATACATCAAAGAAATGACAATATCTTCAGTTCAATTCAGTATTTTGACACCAAATTTTGACAAGCTGACATGTGCAAATGCTTATTAAAACTTGTATTTTAGTGATACAATTTAAAGTATAGGTCTTGGGGTATACATCATTTCCAGTTTTTACCTAAAAACAGTTCTTAGTTATCCGTCACCAGGTCAACATTTTCCTCTTATATTCACATCGTGAAAGGGTTAAAAGAGGGGGAAAACCCCATGTGTTCAGAGAAGACATTTGTCTATACTGTAAATGTGTATTGAGATGACATCGTAGCTCGATTAAAACATCGCAACGATGTGTGGTATTCAATAAGTATTTGAAATCAATAACCCAGTGAAAATTCCAACAAACGATGGTGGTAAGCAAGAGATGTAATTATGTCTGTCATCTCTAAAGCTCTGGGGTTTTTCCTTCTCTTATCCTTTAATAAAATGTCACAATGGATTGTAATTAGCCAGCTTACTCATTCTACTAGGTTTTATTGCCATGTTATTGTTTGTAATTTTGGCGGCCATTTTTATAATAAATACATTGTTCTGATGGCTGTGATTGGCTGAATCATTGAGCATTTATATTGGCTTAGTGCAAATTACTTTCTGATTGGTTAGTAGGACTCTGGTTCCTGGTTTCTTTAATGCAATAATTACAGTTAAACCTGTCTAAAGTGGAACACCTTTCGTACCTCTTAAAGGTGTTCCACTTGGAAGGTGTTCTACATATAGAGGTTCATTAACATTAAGTCAGTTGTTCTTGGGACTCGGAAGTGTTCCACTAACAGAGGTGTTCCACTTATAGAGGTTCATTAACATTAAGTCAGTTGTTCTTGGGACTCTGAAGTGTTCCACTAACAGAGGTGTTCCACTTATAGAGGTTCATTTAACATTGAGTCAGTTGGTCTTGGAACTCAGAAAAGTGTTCAAATTAGAGAGGTGTTCTACTTCTAGAGTTGTTCCATTTTACAGGTTTCAATGTATAATACATAAGTCCTTACTTGAACAGTTTGTAGGTTTCTCTGTATGTTTGAAGACATCTCTCATAACGTGGGTCGATGGAATCTTTCTCATTGGCCTTTTCTAATGCATACGCTGCTTCTATGAAGAATAGCATGGACTCTAGGAATATGTAGAAGTACTTGAAACTGTCCCCTTTCTGAAAAAACACACAAGATGGCTCAAAATATGTCAATCACTTCCTAATGTTCAAGTTTGACGTATTGTTAATTACAGATTGATTAAATACAGGTATATGATTTTTTATGTAAGACTGGGAGAAATTGTAAATATATGTTTTATGAATGATGGAGAAAATAAAGAATAGACAATTTGGCTCTCCTCAGACTTTTATTCTAGTGCCAGGGACAATAGATTTATATCACAATAAAAATTTATGTTACAATAAACATCAAACTCTGTGTAGAATGTGGAATAATTAGCATGACAATTTAGAGTCCTACTATCACAATATGCATATAATTGAATTTGCCTTTCTCTAAAATGCTCGATATTATACCATGGGGAATGTTGGCTTTGGGGTATTAGGTAAAACCAACTACCCTATGCGTAGCAATGCACCTGTGGCAAAATCTTAACGGAAGGTAATCTTACACTTCATTCAAAACAAAATTAGACTCTGGAGACCCCTTGAAATTGAAAATAACTTTTATGATGCAAAGTAAAGTACAAATTAGGATTCTTTATGGAATAGTATTTTCAAAGAATAGCAAAAAGAGATCAGTATGTCATCGGACGTAGAACACGGTACAATATTTTGCTAATATACTAGATGAATTGTATTGTTCTAGTCAAGACTGGCAATAGCCAACCACTCCTGACCAAAGATATTTTTCAAAGTCATGCAGTTTTTCACCATCCTGACTATTTTTTAAGTGATTTTCAGCAAAAGATGTCAAATGTGAACCCCCCTGGATTTTTTAAAAAAGTGAACCCCCTTTGCAAAAGTTGGATACAAGCCTGCTAGTTATCCTACCTGCACGAGCATATGTCCAGTCATTCATTATATATACAGATTACCTCACAGGTTCATTCGTAAGTGTACTTGACAGTCTGTATTTCATTTCCGAAGATATCAAGATTTTTTTTTATTAATCATGTTTTATTCAATACAATAATGCCATTTTTGACTCGCAAAATTCACTTTTTGACCATTTGCTTTTAAACCTCTGTCGATAGGATTCCCGTTTAAGTTCATTTTGTTAAACATTAATACAGAAAAATACTATAAAAAGAAAATTTCCGAAAGCGACCTTGTTTATACATTTTAAGTCGCAGGTAGGATGTATCATACTGATTTGGAATTCCCTTCACTTACCTCGGCACCTGCTTGGGTTTTTAATCGCTTACCCTCCGCAAGGTAAAAATCAGAGATTTTCAGACTGGAAATACAATAAAAATAGTTATACTAAAGCTACACCAACTTGTAGATATATCATATACTCATTTGAGAATAAATATGATAAACAAAATAAACTCTTATATATTATTATATCTCATAATTTATAAATTAAATAGCCAGTTTATATCAAGGGTTACCATGGGAATATTTTAGGAATTGAACAACGTCCAAGGCATCATAGACACAAAAAGTCAATAAAAACCAAGATGCGCATAATTAAATTAAAAAAAAAATGTTTGCTACAACCTTGGTCACACTATCACAAACGCCTGGTCCATTATCAGTATTATACAAAAAGTGAACATGTATTGCTACCTCTAAGATGAGTTTATTTCAAATACCTTGCATCAAGTAGTTCATACTGACGAATCTTCCACCGGTCACTCTGAGCAGTTGTAACCTTGGGGGCAGTTTCCTTTGGGTAAGGTTTCTGGGGGGAGACATCCTGGGGGGCTGGGTCTGGAGGTAACACCTACAAATCATACCAATCACATTAATATCTGACTGAAATTATTTTTATTTTAACTGGATATTGGTGAAATATAATTATACCAAGGTTCGCAGAAGCTAGTAAAAAGTCATTCTTATACTCGGAACATCTCCTGTCTTGCAAAGAATTATGGGTAATGCAAGAAGATGAGAAAGATTTGAATTTTTGTATATTTTGTTTTGTTTAATATTACACACTTAAGGAAGAATAAATGTATTCAGATAGTGATTGACAACAAAATCAAAATTATTAGGAAACACTTCTATTTGAAGTTTTCACATCTGGTTGATCAAAGCAAAAACACATGATCAAATACAGGTGGTCGACTGATCGAAAAAGAATCATTTATGACAACATGTGGAAGTTTGAAGCACCTGTGGACTGACAAAGCCATCAGTTGATTGAACTTATACCAAACATTCTGATACTCATCTCCTCTTTCAGTTTTTAAATTCATGATGGATCAATGAGGTGAACTATGGGTTCAAAACTGACCTATATGTGTAACTTAGTGCAATCATTATTTGAACAATAAATATTTAGTGATTAAGAATGCAGTGTTTTGTTCTCCCCTGGATTTTTTCTAAAGTGAGTGCAAAATTCTTATTTTCACAAATTGATCAAAATACGAGATGCCTATTATACATGATTTTTCTAATTTTCAAATAAATGCAAATGGATTCTCAACTGTGCACATGCCTATTGTCAAATTCTCATGTGAGCATCTCTTTACTGGAAATTGCTGAAATGATGTACCGATGATTTAAAGAGTATTGAAATGACAAATTGAATAATTATATCTAATTACCCTTGAATTATCTGAATTTGGCCTATAGATGGCATCGGTGCATTCTGGACTACTATCACTGGAAAGATTCCCGTCTTCTGACCTTCGATGGGTTTTTCTATGTGGCTCTTCATGACTATCTATGGGGTGACTCACTCTGAAATGACAAAATTAAAAAACCTTATTAATCAACAAATAAATAAATAAATAAACTTCAAAATCCAATTAATAATAAATCTTGGAAGAAATTTTATGTATATTTCGAAATGATTTTTCTATGTTTCTGAACATGTTTCTTCAGGTTGGTGAGTAGCAGTAAACAGTTAACAGTTATGGATATAAAAGATTTTTCTATGTGTTGTAAGCACAAATAGTAGCATAATTTTAAAATCCAAGTTACTATCATGATCATTTGATTTATAATTAGAATCCCTAAGGGGAGACAATATCACATTTTTCAATGAATGGCTACCACCTGAATAAACATTCTTGAATAAACCTCATTAGTTTTATTTACTATGTGTACCTTGAACCTTTCAAAAAACTGTACTCTGAAATAGTACAGTTGCTTATCTATAACATGCTGACCCTTGCTATAGTCAAGTTACAGTCAAGATACAGTTAAGTTACATTCAAGATACAGTCAAGTTACAGTCAAGATACAGTCAAGTTACAGTCAAGTTACAGTCAAGATACAGTCAGTTACAGTCAAGATACAGTAATGTTACAGTTAAGATACAGTAAAGTTACAGTTAAGATACAATAAAGTTACAGTCAAGACACAGTCAAGTTACAGTCAAGATACAGTCAAGTTACAGTCAAGATACAGTCAAGATACAGTCAAGATACCATGAAATGAAACATTCTTGTAATATAAAGACCCAACTTCAGTCTTTGATTTTATTTATCCCACAAGTCTTGAAAATAAAGTATTAAGTGGCTGTGTAAGAATCAAAACAGTGAATAAAAACAAAGTGGTTAAATCAGGTTTTGTTTTGGCTTTGTCCGTAACATGTCAACTCAAAATGTAATTCAAAACCATTCAAGAAAGTTAATTTGTTTTTTAACCCCATAATTTTTGGTATTTGATGACATGTGGATATATTCCATTCCATACTATAATTGCACGTACTTGAACAATATGATAATACATGCTAGGAGAGGTCATAGATTCTAGAAGTATCACTTAGATTGTGTATAAAAACTGTTTTGTTTGACTGATGGGTAAATTGAGGGTTAAAAAACGTAAGTCTAGCTGGCTACAAGGGGGGGGGGGTGCGATGACTCAAAGGAAGACTTAAAAGACTCAAACTGGTTCAAATTACATCAATCTAGTGTAATTACAACTTGAGTGTTTGAGTTTATATTTCTAATCAAAGGGGTTTTAATGGTTTTTAGATCTTAATTAAATAGCATGACATGAAAAGAAGATAAGTGAACATTTAGTAGATCTTGGTCGATCATGATATGAGACAAAATCCTTACATGAACCAATCCTCACATGGAGTGGTAAAGTACTCTGAAGCCTTCGTTTTGAGACATGGAGATATGTACAATCTTTGAAATCTTCAAGAGATATTTTGGTCAAGAAGGCAGTCAAACTCACCTCCTACGCAAACTGTTAATGAAACTGCGATTGCGTTGATATGCTCCCTTAATAGTCAAATCACATGGTTTTACCATACAAACAATGAAAGATCGACCTTTGACATATACTCATCATTAGACTTCAGGCCTAAGGGGAGATGACATACTTTTCAACCAGGACAGAAAAATGGCACAATGAGCAAAATAAAATGAAGAGTAAAAAGAGAAGAAGCGAGAGGTTTAGTCTTTATTTGTTACTATTGAATGCACTCAGAGTGGTTTTTGATTTTGTCACGGTCATCAAAAAATGTCAGCTTAAAATACATAGTACAATCTAAATGCAGTATGAAAGTGCAGGGCGAGTCTTTATGACATGGTATAGTTTCATTATGTACAGTGCTTGTAGTACTATTGCAGAACTCAAAGAGCGCATTGTCAATCTGACATTACATGAAATGGGTACTAAATTCAAAAATCTGTTGCTGCACAATGTAAACTTTTAACATATGCTCTGAATAAACAATCACCAAATTACATTATTGTAGAGGTTATACACAATGTGACCCAGCATTACAAAAACTAAAAGGTCCTCTACAGTGCTCACCATAAATAAATGACACCTGGATTTTCTATCACCATTTCAAGACCATGGTGATTTGAGACTTCATACCTTCCAATAATGTCTAGATACACATCCCTTAAGTTTTGTATATTTTACATTTTGTATACTCTCATCCACTGATGTATAGCCTCTTGAAAATTCTCTTCTTTTAAACATGGGAAATCCTCACTTCAGCAAATCGAGGTGTCATTAAGCATTGTATGTTCTATGTTCTTTGAAAAGTTATTCTTATTTTTTTATTGACATTTAAATGTTTAAAACTTCTGATCTTGATCGATTTTAAAATTGCTCTTAAGTTTGAAAGGAATTTCGGCGAAAGACTTCACAAATTGTTGCCTTTAAAGCTCTTACAAGATCTGAACTATACAGAGGTGTTGTGTTTCTAACAAATGCACAGAGTGTCTCCCAAATTCTTGTGCGTCTCCTAATTTCTCCTGTAGGAAACAGATGTACAGTATGTTTTATATGATACAATGCAAAAAATCTACTTACTTTTGGTCTACAGATGATGTTGATGTGGTACGGCAACTTGATAATCTCTGACGTTTAGCGCTAGCTCTTTCATCACTGCTTTTCCGTTTACCCAGCATGCCTTGCTGGTCTTCAAGCTGGTCATCGGACAAAATGGACGCTGGTTGCAGACGGTCATCAGGTGGTGACACTTGTGGTTCTGGTGGTGTAGTATCCAAATCATCACCGCTATGTTCTCCACCAGAGCTATCACTACTCATGGTATCATACAGATGTTTATAACCATGCTTTTTATTTCTACTTTTCTTATAATTTTGGCTTTTCTTGCGGGTACGTTCTGGTGGGGATTTGTCTGTGACAATACCTTTAGGTTGACCAAACATGTTTTCTTTACCAGGGATGCGTTTCAATGATGCAAGATTGATTTTGATAAGTATTGATGGTTTGTTTAGCTTGTCATAGGTAATGCCAGGAAGGTTATTGGCCTGAGTTGCCATGGTATCAGTGGTGGTTGTCATAGCACCTGGGAGATCATCAGGCTGGGTTGCCATGGGGTTTATAGTTACCATAGTGCTAGATGGGATCGGAGAAAGGCATGGTTTAATATCCCGTAAACTTTCCAATGCATCTTCAACGCCAATTGATTCACAAGTACTTGTCCGTTCAACCATTCGTTTCATTTTACGATTTTTATGCCTATCAACATTGGAAACTTCTGTCTTCCCCGGTTTAGAGATATTAGTGACTCGGGGAGATCGGGAAGCTGTAGGTTTTGATAACTTGATGGGTGAAGTGGTTGGAGGAGTATTGATGATATCTACATCTGAATCATCAGAACTACTAAGGACAAATGGCCTAGAGAAGTTTTTCTTTTGTGAGCTCTTGGGACTCCTGCCAACAGGCTTCCCAGATTTAAATTGCGATGATTTTGGTTTGGTGGTATTTTCCAATTTATCAATTCTCTCAATATCCACTGTTGGCTTTTCAACTAGTTTAACATCCACTGACTTTTTACGTCCGCGAGGTGATTTTCCAGAACTTCCTTTTGAAGTACTCTTTCCACTACCAGTGCTTTTAATGCTCTGGGAACCTGGTGATTTACTTCCGCCACTGCCATATGAATAATTACAGCTCTTATTGCGAGCACGGTCGCGTTTAATTGCGCTATACATGTCTTCATAGAACACTTCCTGTCTAGGTGTCGTGTCACCCTTCGATTTGAGATCATCATGTGATGTTATTGCAGACGGCACTGGACTCCAAACATCTTCAACATCTGCATCTAAGTTCTCAGATATCCTATTAACATTTCTCTCACTCAAGGGGTCTGAAGCAGGTAATAACACTGACAGTGATTGGCTAATGCCATCATTAGATGAAGACCCCTTGGATAGTTTTGGTTTGGTTACTTTTGAGCTTTTACTAGATCTGTCACTGGAAACTGATTTTGCCGGACTTTTGGCGGGACTTTTGACCAGTGGCTCCCTCTTATCTGGTGGGAGAACAGCATTCATGAGGTCAGAAATCGCCCATTTGGATTCTTCCTAAAAAGCAAATATAAAGAGGAATATTACTATAATGCATCAATTAATAAGTGCTTGAATAATATGCATGAAAACATAACCCATGGATTAGCATTAATGAAATCTGTATTATTCTTTTTTATTTTTTTTGCTATAATTGTTGGATTAAGGATTAAAGCCCTGGACTCAGTGCAATGTGGAATGACCATTCTTTGAAGGTGTTGTTTTCCAGAATTTGCACGAGATGGAGCATGGAGTATTAATTTTAGGAAACAATGAAAGGAATGGTTATTCCACAATGTATTGAGTCTCGGACTTTAATTCTTTTCACATATTGCACATTATTTTCTACAGAATCATCTAAAAGATACAAAATCACTAAAAGAACATATTTACAATGAAAAGTTTTGCAAGGGCCAAGCTGGCAAAGTACCAGTTTCAATCTGTAGAGTCCAGTCATCACCATGACAACTGTTTAACTAGTGACCTTGAGTTCGCTGTTGTTTATATAACAGAATGCAGTTATTTAGCCTGTTCTGGTTGGCTGGAATTGGACAGACCTTGCCTAGCTATATGTGTGAATAAAATATAGGCGCAGGAATTGACGACAAATGACTGGTGATAAAGGATTGAAAAGAGATACAACTTAAATCTTTGGTGGGGTGAAGAGAAATTATTCTAAAAAGTTACCTTGACAACAGGTGTTGATGGTGGAGGAGTCGCAGCATGACGAGGGGGTGATTTGGCCCGTTCATCCTCACTCTCAGAATCACTGGTGCCGGAACTACTTTCACTACTGCTAGAGCTATCAGAACTACTTCCTAGCATGGCTGTATTTGAAGGCGACCTGAAAGCAAACATCACAGATTTTGAATATAAGAACAATAGTATATATGCTCAAGTTCCAATGCTAATTGCTATATGTACAGGGTGTCCTGAAAACATGTAAATTATGAGGCACGGATTGAGGAAAAGGTTGTAATCATGGTCCTCATTCAAACATATTGAAAGGAAAATAATAACTACTGGAGGTCAAAATTATGTACATGATGAAGTTCTCCAAAATTCATGTATCTTGACAACCTCTTAGTTGTAATTAAGGTCCCCATTTAAAATTCAAACCAATTGAGAGGTGGACAGTAATATTGGGGGGGGGGGGGGGGTACCAATATCAATTTAGAGGGGGTATATTATTTCTTTATTTCAATTCTCCTAAATGCATGTAACTTAACCGCTTTAACATCTTCTGGTATTGACCTTCCATATATCAGATAGATTGAACCCGACAACATCTTAGTTATGATTATACACTGTGCTTTCACTAATATAATTGATTATTTATAAGACAGTGTGTGTACAAAAACTTGCTTTATGTGTATGCTGAACGAGTAAATCAATACATAGTAGGACCTCTTGACACAATTATCTTATACTTTTATATGTAACTGATATGTATGATATGTATAATACTGTACAAAATCCTGTATAGTGGCCAATATGTTGAAGAGACTGAAGTGATTAAGGGTCAATAAATATATTTATCTCATTCAGAAGATGCACAAATTACGAGCAATATATTTACAATGTATTTACAATTATTTATGAACAAGGTTATTGTTTTTCATTGCATAATAACTTTCTTATGTATATATTAACATTGGAGAAGTGAGTTACATTCATTGAACTAAAGTATTTTAATATCCAAAACAAAATGTGTCATCTCAACAAGGTATTTATATGAAAACATGTAACTACCTTACTAAACAGCTTACAAAATGTAACACTATGTTACAAAGAAAAGTGTAACTGCCAAACACTAAATCCCAACTGCTGAACACCATCCAAAAAAGATGGAGACTATAACAATATGTCACCACTTGTGACTTAATGATGCAGTTCTCCATCATTTAAGATTATTTTTAGAAAATGGCAATGCAATGACGCCAAAAGATTCTGAAATTGAGGCAAGTAAAATATTAAAATAGAAAGGTCTGGTTGGTCATATAAACTCAAGAGATCAATTAGAAGTGTTGCCATGATGGTAATCTAGTACTCTGTACTCTGAATGAAGGAGAGAATGTAAAGTCTAAATGACATAGACTCACCTTCCAAGGGAATGAATCAAATTCAATGGAACAAAGAAGAGGTTTTAAAACAAGATGCTAAAGCTATGTCGTGAAGAAAACACACCTCCGGGAAGGATGTTACGTAACTGTGGCCTAACTATTAATCCACCCACCTTCAACTTGTCGGACGTTTCAAGGTAATGATAGTCATGGAATCTGAGATAAAAGGTAGCTTAAACACTTAAAGAGACACATATGCATAATTCATTCATTAAACAAGGATAAAGAAATTCTGAATCCAGGCGAAGATATATGTTTTTGTTTTTTCTCTTTATAAATGTCACTTTTAAATTTTCGATAAAACTATTGTATGCTCCCTTTAAGAAGCATGACGATCGTGACATTTTCATTGTGATGATGTTTTATTGCAATGCAATCTGTGTAGGATTTAAACCTAAAGTACTATTGATCTCCTCTTACCATAATTACTTCAAATAGACGTCGACAAAATTTCTCCCTCCTTTGTCGTTTTACTAAATAATGCAATAGCAGGTTTTTCCAATAACTACTGATCACCTTCACGTTCATAATTTTTACAAATGAACTGAAATTCCTAATTTTCTAGTTTTTTTCCAAGTGTGAATAATTTTAGGGCGAAATGGAATAATGCCAAATATAATGAGAAAAAGATAGAACAGGTTCCCTTTGTTTGTTTGTTTGTTTATTTGTTCGTGTTGCTAAGAGAGAACATATATCACAATAACATCAACATTTAACACATTGTCAACAAATTGTTTGTGTCACTAATAGGAAAGCAATGGACAAAAGGAAGACAATACTACTTTTTCAAGATAATGCTTCATTTCAGGCGAGCCAAACTTACGTAAAGATTCTCTCTATCAATTCACGTGAGAAAACATAATATATTAATCGCTATATTAAACGACTCTTATTTCCGCCCTAATTCATGGAATCTTCTATTCATCACATTCTATTTGCCGTTATCAACTACACATAAATCGTTTTAATCCATCTTTTAGATACACTCCAGCAACTTTCACCTTGCAACAGTCCACATTTGCAAACGCTATAAATCATGTTTATTGCTTTATTGGATCAGGATTATCCATACTCACAAAAAGACCACTGCAGCCATATTTATTTCCTAATTTCTCAATTCAATTTAAGAAATGATAATTTTCTGATATTTTGATTTATCGAAGAGAGTGGGCTTCATGTAGGATAATTGCAATCAACGCTAATTCTCTTCTTGCGTGTTATAACGCATAATCGCTACTACGATTCTTATTTCTAAGGGCAGCGATTATTCAAATGTATTCTTAGGTAGTTACATCGTAATTGAAGTTCAAAGCAAATGTTAAGGAAGAAATATCTTTTTCCACTTAACTGATTTCTCTTTTTTGTCTTCAGTAGAGCTTTACTACGCATAATACTAAACCAGAACAACGGCAACGCCAAAGCGTAGCGAATCCCATCGAACAGCCATGGATGGCATTTTAACAAACAAAGTATACAGTATTTTTCAAAATGGCCGCCTTCTACCAAAAGTGTCATTAGACCATGTGCCATGCTTATAGTATTAACATACCAAATATGAACAAAATCGCTCCACTACTTTTCAAGTTACAGTAAAATACGTTAAAATGGTGGCCATTTTTCAAAATGGCCATCTTCTACCAAAAGTGCCATTAGACAGTGTGCCATGCTTATATTATTCACATACCAAATATGAACAAAATCGCTTCACTACTTTTCGAGTTATAGTAAAATACATTAAAATGGCGGCCATTTTTCAAATTTTTTTTCAAAATGGTCGCCTTCTACCAAAAGTGTCATAGGACAGTGTGTCATGCTTATAGTATTCACATACCAAATATGAACAAAATCGCTCCACTACTTTTCGAGTTATAGTAAAATACGTTAAAATGGTGGCCATTTTTCAAAATGGCGGCAATTTTTCAAAATGGGTGCCTTCTACCAAAAGTGTCTTTAGACAGTGTGCAATGTTTATAGTATTTATATACCAAATATGAACAAAATCGCTTCACTACTTTTCGAGTTACAGCAAATATCGTACAATAACGATTAAAGGCCGCCATTTTTCAAGATGGCTGCCATGTGCTTCTTTAATATCTACATTTCTAGCTTTATTTATGTCCTATATAATTTTTTTACATCTAAAACATATTGCTATTACAGTTTTACATATTGCACCTAAATTACTGTAAATTCGGCACTAAAATGGCCGCCATTTTGAAGTGAGCGGCCATTTTCAAAATCGGCTTTCGAGCAGAACTTCTACCCCCATAGGGTATATGTGTACAAAATATGAACAAAATCGGGCCAACGGTATTTGAGTTATTGCCCGGACGGACGGACGGACAGACGTACGTACGGACGGACGTACGTACGTACGTACGGACGGACGGACGGACGGAGGCGTTCCCTATATCCCTCCGAACTTCGTTCGATGGGATCAAAATATCTGTCTGATTTAATATATATCTATTGGTACATACTTTTTTGTGTTACATATGTTATATTTTATTCATAGCACTATGAAAACTGAAATCATATATCTCATGTACTATTATCCTGACTATGATTGGAAAGGTAGTCTAGCTACCACCCCCTGTGACCCCCCTCTATCTACTTGACTACACACCTTCTCACTGGGATGTATTGTGGGGGGGTCACAAGGGTTTGTAGGTAGATTGTTGGTTGGGTAGCCACATAAATGATATCCCATAGAAGCCTCTAAGCTCAATGTTATCCTGCCCCTCTTCCCCACTTAACATTCTCTTTCTTCAATCTTGTTTTCTGACACTGGGTTACAAATATCTAAGGGAAGACTAATATCATAGTCTTGTCATCCTCCTAACAAGTATCCAGAATCCATACCTCCTTCTTCCCCCTACTATAACCAATTTGGAAGCGCCCGATGGAACTGAATCACATGATCTAATTATGCGCAATGACTTATACATGATTTCTGTCACAGTGTTGCGACAGCCAATCAGATTGCAAGTTCTTGATCGGGGAAATGCTAACTGCTTATCGCAGGGGGTAAAAAGAAAGAATATATTCTGGATTTTGAAGCCCTGTGATCGGAGGATGAGTCTTGTAGACAGACAGTTTTGAGGTTCTACTTATACAGCCAACAATTCAGTCACCCCCCTCCTTGTAGAGGTGAGGCATGTATGGGGGATCACAAGTATTTAAGGAAAGACTAATATCATAGTCTTGTAGACAGACAGTTTTGAGGTTCTACTCATCTTTGCACCCTCGGTCTTCACTGCGACCGACGGGAGCCGAGTGAACGAAGATGGGTTCTACTTATACAGCCAACAATTCAGACAGAACATAATTTATCTGTATAAATAGAAAAGTAAAAATAACTGCAGTAAGCGTATTGCGTATCACACCACTTTTTGACAGAAAACAGTTAAAATAGGAAATTCAAAGCTCAAATAAACAAACATGTTTTCCACACATTAAATGACACGAAACAACAAAGCATTAGGTACTACGATTTGATTTAATCGAGCAAGGCGGAAGATAGAATATATCTAGAGATATTTGTTATGCATCTGAAGTGTGCCATGTCTTTTATTGACGCAAACGGCCTATACTGGAATAGAACACATTAATTATGAACAGGACGTGAGGTTTACAGGCCTCGAGCAAAATGCCACTGCAGTTATATTAAAAGAACACAAACAGAGAACAAATAGACAGGAACATACTAAAAAGCCATGAA